AGTAGGAGAATGCAAAACTAACACAAAATCAGTAACTGATGTATACACTAGTAACTTGCATGTAAAGAAAGAAACAACTCATCTCACAATAGCTTCAAATGATAAATAAATAAAAGACCTAAGAATGAATCTAACTCATGAGTATAATGTAAACTTTAAAAGATAGAGAGTACATCTGCCATGGATCAGCATAGTTAGCAATGTGCAAATGCTATATACTACCAAAAGCAATCTGAAAGCCAGTGACATTCTTCACAGAAACAGAAGATCTAACACTTACACGATGCAAAAATGGATGCAGCCAGTATGGAGGTTTCTCAAAAAACTAAAAATAAAACTACCATATGACCCAGCCATTCTATTCCTGGCTGTATACTGGAAGGACTCTCGGTCAACATACCACATCCACATTCACTGCGGCACTGTTGACTGTAAGCAGGAGGCTGAACCAGCTACACCTGCCCACCGCAGAGAATGAATAGAGAAATGTGGCGCATGTATACACTGTAAAATTTTATCCAGCCACAAAGGAAATGAAGGCACAACCTTTACAGGAAAATGGACGAAACCAGAAATCATACATTAAGCAAAAATATTAGCCTTAGAAAAATAAACCTGTTTTCTCTCATATGCAGAGACTATATTTAAGAGAAGGAAACAGACAAATACACACACATTAAAAATGAGACAGAAAGGGTGTGTGTGTGTGTGGGGGGGGGGTCTAGAAAGATGGCTATAAGAGAGCAGGGAGAGAGATCCTAAGCAAGGTATAAAGATAAGAAAGCCAGAGAAGAGGCTAACTGGAGGAAGGAAAGGAACCAGCCAGAGGTGGAGAGGTATGGCACGGGGCACTGGGGCAGGAGAACTAATGAGACTGAACATAAATGTAAGAAAATGCCATAATGAAACCTGATGGGAGATGTCATTCTGTAAATAGGTTTCTCTTATTAATGAGTAAAGCACTTCTGGCCAATAGGGAAGCAAGATAGGTGGGACTAGGAGAGGTTGAGGATTCTGGGAAATGTAGGACAAAGTCTCAATGTGATCTCAGGAGAGGTTGCATGAGTCTGGCATTCTCAGTAAGATAAGATCATATAGAAATACATATATTAGTAATTATGGGTTAATAATTAAGACAGAGCCAGCCAGTAAGAAGCTCTAGACATTGGCCAACAGCATGTCTCTGTGTGTTATTTGGTACTGAAGCGGCTGTGGGACCAGGCTGACAGGAAAGTGCTCGTAAGAGAAACCCATTACTTTACATTAACGTGAAGCCTTAACTTACAAAAGTGATTGAGCTGGGGATGGTGGTACTTGCCTTTAATCTAGCACTCAGAGGCAGATTGAGAGCAGCCTGTCTGTATGACAGACTCTAGGGCAGTAAGAGCTACACAATGAGACTAAAAGCACACAACAAAAAATTTTTAAATAAGAAAAAGAAGCATCTCTGAATAAGAGATGCCAGTTCTTCCTAAAAACAAAACAAAAACTTCAACTCTGCGAGTTAGAGGCTGGCCTAATCTTAATGAGTTTCAGGACAACTAGGGCTTTGAAGAGAGACCCTGCTCAAGAAACAAAACCAAACAAAACAAAGATGGCTGGTTAGATAGCTCAGTGGTTAAGAATATTTGTTTGGGTCAGGCATGGGCCTTTAATCCCCAGCACTTGGAAGGCAGAGGCAGTTGGATCTGAATCCAAGGCCAGCCAGGGATACATAGTGATACTTTGACTCAACAATCAAACAGAACATGCAGGCAGCTCTAGCAGAGGTTGAATGCCAACTTAAAAAAAATCAGTCATTCCAAACCCCGCCACCTCTTTTATTTTTTTCTGAGCCAAGGTCTTATGTAGTCCAGGTTGGCCTCAAATTTGGTATGCAGCTAAGGATGGCCTTGAAATCATAGACTTCCTAGCTTTCCCTCCCAAGTGCTAGAATGAAGCATGTACTACTACATGACAATCCTAAAGTTCTTATGGAAGCACAAAAGATCCCGCCTTAGTTATGTCTTGTTGCTGTGACAAAATACCAACCAAAAAGCAATTAAGAGCAAACAAAGGGTTTATTTAGCTTTACAGTTATTGGGATACAAAACCTCATGGCAGAGGAAGAAAGTATGATGACAGAACCATGTTGAGCACACAACCTGACTCTAGATGTAGGGATCCAATTCCCACTTCTGGCCTCCACTGGCACCTATACACACATATTCACACTCACACAGAGACCCCACCCCCACACACAAAAATAAAATATTTAACTGTTATCTCAGTACTTAGAGGCTGAGACAGAAGGGTCACCAGTTTGAGGCTCATCTGGGCAACAGAACAATATTTCATGTCCACCCTCCCCCAACAAAACAAAAAGCAAGCAAAATAATGAAAACAAAACTTCTAGGGCTAAAGATGTAGCTCAGTGGTAGAGTGCTTGCCCAAAAACATGAGGACCTGGGCTCGATCACTGAAAAGGGGGGAGGAGAGGGGAAGAGAAGGGCCAGGAGAAAAGGAAAAGAAGAGGGAAGAGGAAAGAGGAGCTGAGTGAATGAATGACTCTATAACCCAGAACTACTTCAGAAGAGTCACTTCTTAGCTCCTTTGTGAGCAGAACTGCTTGAGGAAGGCAGCAAGGTGGACCACAGGTAAAGCAATGCCACTAGGCCTAATGACCTGGGTTCAATCCCCAGGACCCACAGGAAGGAAAGAGAAGCAACTCCCATAAACTGTCATCTAATCTCCACAAATGTGCTGTGGCAGTGTGCCCTGCCTACCACAAAATAAACAAAACTTCTCAGGCAGGTGGTGGTGCATGACTTTAATCCCAGCACTCAGGAGGCAGAGGCAGGTGCATCTCTGAGTTTGAGGCCAGCCTGGGCTACAGAGTGAGTTGCAATAGAGTCAGAGAACCAAAAGAAACAAAACTCTCGGCAAGAGAGATGGCTCAGAGATTGAAAAAGCTCACTATTCTTGCAGATTTGGTTTCAGTTTCTAGCCATCTATATGGGGGCTTATAATCAACTGTAACTACAGTTCCAGAGCACCCAATGTCCTCTGGCCTCCTTGGGCACCTACACATATATATCGTACATGAATTCACACACGCATGCACACACACACACATATATATACAAATAATTTTTAAAACTTGAGGGAGCTGTTTATTCATTCTATAATTTGTCTATTCATTTTTCTTCTCTTCCTATGCTCTTTGATTTAAATTAGGGTTTCATCCCTACATCCACTGAAACAGTCCATGTCAAGGCTCTTAGGGAAATAAGGGGTCTTCTAAGTACATCCATTGATCAATATATAAGCTGGCTTTAAGATTCAAGATACTACAGGGTGGTAGTAACACACACCTTTACTCCCAGTGCTCTGGAGACAGAACTCAGGTGGATCTCTGAGTTCAAGGCCAGCCTGGTCTAGAGTGAGTTGCAGGACAGCCAGAGCTACACCAAGAAACCCTGTCTTGAAAAACACACACACATATCAAGATACCTCACTTGATGCAAAGTTAATTCATTACTGCTGACTGGCAGTAAATAGGAATGTCTCCATATGAAAAGTAGAATCCCAATCACATCCATTGCACGCATCACGATCAGACTCACATCTCAGTAATCTCATCTACATCATGACTACTTAAAGACACTGTGTTGTACATAGTTCCCAGATGCTCTGCTCTTCTCCCTTTTCTGTTTCCCATTTGGGTGATTTTTATTAGTCTGTCTTCAAGTTCCCTGATTCTTCAACCATGTCAAGTCTAATAAACCCTAACACAACCTAATTTAACCTATTTGTATTTCTAGCATTCCTATGTAACATCCAATTTCCTCTTCTGCAATCCCTCTGTGTTTATACCTGCTATTTATCCCAAGTTGTATGCCTTGGCATGTGCATACCAGCAACCAAAAATAATTTTAAAATGTAACTGGTAGCTAGGAATAACATATACCTGCAATCTAAGACAGTATTTCTAAGAGGCGGCAGAAAGATCTGGAGTTCAAGGCCACTCTTCACTACACAGTGAACTTGAGGCTAGCCTGAGCTATGTAAGTCCCTGTCTTAAAATGTAGTTGACTTGCCCAACACACCTTTAATCCCAGCAATCAGGGATGCAGAGGCAGGAAGATCTCTAAGTTATAGGCCTGCCTAGTCTACATAGTGAGTTCTAAGGCAGCCAGAGCTACACAGAGAAACCCTGTCTCAAAAACAAAACACCAAAAGCAAACAAAACCCTAAAGTACCTGATTTATTCTTCCATCCTGGTATAACAGCCCACCTGTAGGTCTCAAAAGCCAGTGACCTGTAAATTATTAAACCTACTCTTGTTTGGGTAGGAATAAGACTCTTTTCAGCTTTCTATGCCCTAGGTAAAAGCCAGAAGTTGCCTCATGATTTTAATTTATATTAAAATTTATTATTAACTCCTAAGTTGAAATTTCTATACTGAACATGCATGCCAGTTAATTAAGCTAAATTCTCTAGTGATTCTGCTTGTCATGAAAAAGATTTTAATATCCTCAATGAACATGCTGAAATGAGGACGGCCATGCTGGGAACAAACATGCCTATTATTCCAGTACTGTAACATTAGTGCTTTGGTACTAGGCTAGAAAAGGATGAGAATTCCAGGCCAGGTTAGGCATAATGGTGCATACCTTTAATTCTAGCACAGAGAGAGAGAAGGGAAGATTTCTGTGAGTTCGAGGCCAGCCTGGTCTATATGATTTTCTGGTCAGCCTGCAAACCCCCCTCCCAAAAAAAGGTGGGGGGGGGTCTTTCTTATGTTTTTGGTTGGGAGCCTAACCTTTAACGGCTGAGCCATCTCTCCAGTGGGGTGTGTGTCCCCCCTTTCTAAAGGTGCATCTGCCCCTCCCTCTCTTGCTTAACAGCATCATTTCAAAGTTTCTCTGTGCTAGGTTTTCTGAACACTGGTAGTAAGACAACAGGTTAATTTGTGAACACTACTGACCAGCTCAGTAAGTATTCTGTTCTTGACTTACCTGATGGGCTATCTGAGAAATGTGAGTCCCCTGAACTGTTGAGCCAGGCTGAGGTGCAGTCTCTGGAGTATTACTCTTGTGGGAATCTTCCATAATCAGCTGGGAGAAAAAAAAAAAAACCTAGTTAAAATGCTACAGAATTAGCAACTATTGCAGTCACATGATGCTTGGTCAGTTAGCTACCCTACAAAAGAGAATCAGCAAGTGGCTACAGTTTATTCTTCACCTTAAAAAATTCTCAAACACCAGAATGTTTATAAAGACGCAAATCTTCCTATAGATAGGAAAGGCCTTTCTCCAATTGAGGGCGAGTCTCTATCTAACTGTATGCACAGCTTCAAAAAGAATTTACTTAACAGATAAACAAGGCCTGTTGGTGTTTAACTTTGTTTTCTTTTTGAGGCAGAGTTTCTCTGTGTAGCCCTGGCCCTCCTGGAACTTACTCTGTAGACAGGGCTGGCCTCTGCCTCCCAAATCCTGGTGTGCACTACCACCCAAAGATGGTGCTCAACTTCAATCCCAGAGTTCAGCAGGTGGCTCTCTCAGAAGAGCTGGCCCAGACAGCTCTGTCTCAAAAACAAAGTCAGTGTTTCTCTTTCATTCTAAAGACCAGATGATCTAAATATTAACTCACAGGATATGTAGGCTGAGAAAACTGGGACTAAATTGTGACGGAATGTCACATGGGAGGAGAACCACTAACAAAAAACTGGTTAAAGATTTAGGTCTTTTTACTGTTACATGTAGGACTAGAATGAATTATCTAGTATGCATGAGGTCTTAGCACTAGCGTTGGCACCACCCAAAACACCCCCAAAGACAAACTAGCCTTGTAGTTACAGCTATGTCTACATAGACCTTCAAGCTAACCAGGGCCACATAGTCAAAACCCCAACCCAAAAATAAAGAAGGAAGGCCAGGCAATTGTGGTGCATGCCTTTAATCCCAGTACTTGGGAGGCCTGGCCTACAAAGGAGTTCCAGAACAGGCTCCAAAGCTACAAAGAGAAACCCTGTCTCGAAAAACCAAAAATTAAATTATTAAAAAAAAATAAAGGAGGAAAGGAAAGAGAGGAGAGAGAAGGGGGAGGAGACAGGAGCAAGAGAAGGGGGAAAGAACAAGAATAAAAGATTTGATTTGAAAAAGAATGAATACACACACAGGCTGAAACTTCAGTTGAATGTCAGTAATGCTAGAAAGTGGGTATCTAGCTTTCTTTGCTTTCTAAGCAACTTTTTTCTAGTTTTCATTTTATGAACATGTGTGTTTTGCTTGCATGTATTTGCCTGGTGTCCCAGGAGGGCAAAAGGTGTAGGATTCACTGGTCTTAAGCACCAACCCATCTCTCCAGTCTTTAAAAACTTTAGCTGTGGGGCTGGAGAAATGGCTTAGAGGTTAAGAGTACTGACTGCTCTTCCAGAGGTCCTGAGTTTAATTCTCAGCAACCCCATGGTGGCTCAAAACCATCTACAGTGAGATCTGGTGTCTTCTGGCATGCAAGCACACAGACAGGCAGAACACTGTATACATAATAATTAAGTCTTTTAAAAAACCTTTTTAGTTGTAGCCGGGTGGTAGTGGCACTTCCTTTAATTCTAGAACAGAGAAACCCTGTCTCGAAAAATCGAAAAACTCTAGTTGTATGAAATACTGAGGAAATCTTCTCATCTTGGTCATTTCTATTTTATTTCTCATATTTTGGGGAATTTTGAGACAGAGTTTATCTTGCTCTATCTATCCTAGAACTCACAACATAGACCAGGCTGTCCTTGAACTCAGATCAGAGATCTGCCTGTCTCTGCCTCCAAATGCTGAGAATAAAGGTGTGGACTACACCTGGCTTTCTCTTAGCATTTTTTAAATGTACAGTGAGGTTATGTAGGCTACATTTACTGTTGTACAACCAACCTCCAGAGTTTTCCCTATCTGTTAAGTAACTGTCCACTTTCTCCTTTCCTCTAGGAGCCCTAGCAACTCCTGTTTCTATTAGTGACTACTCTAGACACTTCAACAGAAAAATCAGAGTGTGACTTTTTGTGTCTGCTTTACTTCAGATGGCACAATGAGCCCAATTCATCCACACCATAGCTCACATCAGGGTTTTCAGGGTTCCACTCTATGAAATGTACATCCCACATTGTTTATTCCTCCCTACTGATGAACACCTGGGTTGCTTCAGCCTGAGTGCTGTGAATAGTTCTGCTATAAACATGGATCAACAAGTATGTCTTCAATACCTGCTCTAGCCTGGCATGGTCTCATGGCCCTTTTCCTACTCCTAACAGCTCATGAGCACTTAAGCTACAGCAAGAACAAGGCAGTATCTTACTGCAGTTTTGGTTTTCATCTCCCACTGATTAAAGATGTTGAACATCTCTCCATATTCACGCCACCAACCAATTTTTTTTTTTTTTTTTTTTGTTTTTAGTCTGGCCCGAATGCAGAGGGCTGGGATTATAGAAATGCACCATGCCTGTCTTAGAAAACAAATTCATATTACTCTCCAGATGTAAATAAACTATTGTTAGTCACTGAAAAAAAGAAGTGCAAAATCACCTCCTATAGTGATTTTAATTTCCCTTCCTCTTAAATATGACATTAGCCCCCCACATCAAAAATATATAAAGAAGCAAAAGGCTTAAAAATTTTTTTTTTTTTTTTTTTTTTTTTGGAGACAGTTTTTCTGCATTGCTTTGGAGCCTTGTCCTGGAACTAGCTCTGTAGACCAGGCTGACCTGGTCCACCTGCCTCTGCCTCCAGAGTGCTGGGATTAGAGGTGTACATCACCATCCCCCAGCCCAGACTAAGAAATCTTAATCACAGGATGGGGGTTGGCTCAGTGGGTTAAGAACACTGGCAGTTCTTACAGAGAATCTGATTCCCAACACCCATATAGCTCACAACCATATGAAACTCCAGTCCCAGAGTATCTGAGGCTCTCTTCTGATCTCCACAGGCACACATACAGGCAAAACATCCATGTACATAAAATTAAAAAACAACAACAAAAAACCATTTGGAGGCCATTCGGTGAGTTCCAGGCCACCCAGGTCTACATAGTAAGACCCTGTCTCAACAAACAAACAATAAAAGGAAACATGCATGCAGGCAATACATTCATAAATTAAAAATAAAATTTCACAGAAATTTTTTAAAGAATCAAAACTTCCTCCCACCAAATAAATTTATACTTTTACCTCACTGTAAGCAACAAACAGTACCTGTTCTGTTTTACTTACATTATGCAACTACAAATACACTATTTAAAAAATGTATTTATTTTTGTTTCATGTGCATTGATGTTTTGTCTACGTGAATGTTTGTGTGAGGGTGTCAGATTCCCTGGAACTGGTATTACAGATGGTTGTGAGCTACCATGTGGGTGCTGGGAATTGAACCCAGGTCTTCTGGCAGTGCAGCCGGTGCTCTTAACTGCTGAGCCATCTCTCCAGGCCCAGCAATACTATTTGTTCATCTTTTCCTAAAAAAATTTAAATCTGGTTGGCTTTTACTGTTGTAGTTGTTTTACCTTTGTTTTTGAGACAGGGACCTAAAGCCAGGCTGGCTAAAAAGCAATCCTACTGGCGGTGGTGTTGCACATTTTTAGTTCAAGGCCACCCTAGTCTACAGAGTGAGTTCCAGGGCAGTTGAACCATAAGCAGCAAAGAGATAAAGAACACCACATACCAATGAGAATGACTCTGGGAACTGAGAGGTCACAGCAGACTATGGTTTGCTGGCACAGAAAAGGACACACACAGGTGTACACACAAAGGGCAGGATCTCCTGTAGCCCAGGCTGGCTTCAAACTTGCTTTATAACAGAGGACGGCCTTTCTTGAACTCCTGATTCTCCTGTCTCTACCTCCCAGGGCACCTCTCCTAGACAGCTTTATGCATAATTTACCATTACACCCAGGGTCTCTACATAATAGGTTAACTATCTAAGCTACACCCCTAGCCCAAGGCAAGGTGCTTTGAACAAATTCTGCAGATAGGGACTTCCTAAGTGAGATTCCAAGATAAGAGCTTTGTTTTTATAGTCCTTGAAGGCCATAGCTAAGGTCTTGTCAAGTACCCTACTACCAAAATACACCCCCACCTCCTAAGAGCAAGTCACATGCCACCCCCTAGATGCCCTGTTTTACTCAGGGATTGTTATTTACTGTGGATCTCACATTAATTACTATGTGAAAGACCTGAAGCTAGGGCTATTTTAACAAAAACCTCATTTCACATGGCTCTGTTCCAGCCATACCCTCACATTACCACCCCTATCTGTCTTAATAAGGTTCCCTTGTCTGGCAATCTCTCTAGATTATTTAACAATGGGCTGTGTTTGCCAGCAGGCCTGTTTCTCCTCATTTTAAGCTTAGGCTAATGTGTGCTTAGTGGCCAGCAGAGACACAGCAAATCAATATTCTAACAATGTTGTGCTAAGTTTGGGGTCAGGGAGCCAGCCCCCTTCTCATCTCCATCACTCACCTTCAGGCTTTCTTCCATGCTATTTCCTGTGCTACAAACACTATTCCCCTTCCTCCTGAGACCTTCTAGGATGTCTTCCAGGCAAACCTACAGAATGACCTCCCTAAAGTAGTCTAGAAGCTGACTGTATACCCTAGTATGTTTTTCCTTTTTTAAATATTTTTCTTCAAGTCAGGGTTTCTCTATAGCTTTGGCTGTCCTAGAACTCGCTCTGTAGACCAAGGTGGCCTTCTTATGGCATGTACCACAGTAATGTATGTAATTCCTGTTTTTCTGTCTCTCCACCACAATGTAAGTCTCTTCCGTAAACAGCACAGCCTTCACATTGAACACTGTAACACAAACACCTGCTCACTTAGGTGTGTCTATTTAGAACTGATGAAATAATGGCACTGCACAGAAGCTATAGAAACAGGGCAACTGAGGCACAGGGAACTTAAGAGACATAACCCTATGTGAGAGCTGGAGATTCAACTGGAGATTCACCGAACTCATGTCAAGGTCTTTTGCTTTGTTTTGTTTTGACTTTACTACCATCTACTGGTGCTATGTACTATCACAGTCCTATAGACCAAACAATCAAGAACTACAAACACTAGTTAGGAGCTGTCACATTCAAGTTTAGGATATCCAGTTTCCTGTTTTGTTTCCAAGTGTGAATATAAAGCATGCTAGGCAGACACTCTTCTTAGCTACACGGAGATAAAACTGTACATGTGCACTGTAAAGTGGGACAACTATCATTTTAAACAAAATGTTTACTGGCAACCAAGTCCTGGGACAAATGTGAACGTAAATGCTATACAAACTTATCACAGGTGAGGCCAGTTTTACAAAGATTCCTACTACATCTCTGCTAAAATGGCCTCAGATGTCAACAGACTCTTGAAGAATTGGGGCCAAATGCTTTTCAAGGCAGGACTGCTGGGAGTTCTAGGCCAAACTGAACCACATAGGATTTAAGACCAGTTGGGAATACAGTACGAGGCCTTAGCAAACAAGCTAACACGGGGCTGCAGAGAATGCTCAGCAGTTAAGAGTCCTTCCTGCTCTTACACAGGACACGGGGCCAGTTCCTGGCACCCACTGTAGGGAAAAAGGGCAGCCCCAGAAACACACTTTGGCCCTACAACCAGAACCAAAGAAATGCACTCTGACCCTAAAACTAGTGCCAAAGAAACACACTATGTCCCTGGAATCAGCCAGAGCCAAAACTGACCCTAAACCTGTGCAGAAAACCAACCAATCCCTGAGCAGGACATCTAGCCAATCTGAGCTCAGGGATTGAAATCTGACCAATCTCCATTCTGGAAAACTCCACCCCCTAAGAAGCCCTAATATAAACCCTGTGTCTGTAGCACTTGGGGTTGCAGGGCTGTCCTCTGCCAGTCTCCTGGATTCTTCCCTCCCAATAAACCTCCTTAGAGCTTCCTTCCCTGGGAGCAGAGGAGGAGAGACGTTAACTTTTCACAGCAGAGCTATATAACACTTTCTCGCCTGGGAAAACCTTCCCCTAGCTAAGGGCGGTGTTAACAACTTCGCAGGGGAAACCTTTCCCTGAAGCAGGGCTGTAAGCTGCTATGCTTACTGTGTGACCTGTGGTATTCCTTGGCTCCCGGGTGCCAGAATACTTTTCCATCCGATCTGTAACACTCAGTATTCTTTGGCTACCGAGTGCCAAAGCATCCAATCCGAGATGCAACAATGCTTACATCCACAACAGCCTTTAACTGTAGTTCAGACCTGACACCCTCTGGTCTCTTAAGGCACCTACCTTCAGGTAGTGAACATAACTTAAAGCAAGTAGTAGCGGGGATAAACGGCGTCGCAATAAATATATCTTTTTATTTGTTGTTCTTATCCCCGGCCCCAGAAGGTGTTTCTCTTGCCTTGGCGGTCCTGGAACTCGTTTTGGCCTCAAATTCAGCGATCCACCTGCCTCCGCCGCGGAGGCAGGTGGATCTCTGAGTTCAAGGCCAGCCTGGTCTATACAGCGAGTTCCAGGTCAGGCTCCAAAGGTACGGAGAAACCCTGTCTCGAAAAACAAAAACAGGCTACCATAAAGGCGAACATGTCTAGAAGCCCTGCACCAGTAATCCCGCCTCAAAAAGAAAGAGCAGCTACCGAGACACAGAGTTTTATACAACTTGAGCGGCCAGCGGGGAGACACCCGGAAGAGGGGCAAGGCACCGCGCGCCGCGGGTGGCCTCGGTTTCCCCCTGGTCGAGGCGGGAGTGGGTAGGTGGGTAGGGAGCCTGAGAACCCGGTGCCTGCAGCCTGGTGCGGGCCGTTCCCGGCTCTTCCTCCCGCCTACACGCCGGGAGACGCGGGGTGGGCCGAGGGAGTCGCGGTCGATAGCTCGGCATTATCTCGGGGCTCTGTTTCCAGCGAACCCAACGCCCGTGCGGCGCTGGGTCGGGAGGCGCGCGGCCGGAAGCGCGCGACCGTTCCCACCCCCGCGCCCCTCCCCCACCGGCCAGCCGCGCGCGACCCCCCGGCCGGCGCGTGGCCGCCATCGCGTCCCTCCCCGCCGTCACCGCGCTCCCGTTCGGGCCGCCCCGCTCCCCGCCGCCCCCACGTACCTGCGGAGCCGCCTGGCCGCTGCCCGGGGCGGGAACTTCCACTCCCCCCGTCCCAGGCGGCGCCGACTTCGCTCTTTGCGTCCTAGCCGCAGACGGCGGCGGGGTGGCGCTTCTCCCTGGGGTTCGGCGGGGCGGAGAGAAGAGGAGTAACGAGAGCCAACCGTCCCGGGCTACCGTTTCCCGGCCGCGAGGGGCGTCTCTGGCGGCATGATCGGCCGCAGGCCGGGGGCTGGGGAGGGAGGGAGGGAGGGAGGAAGGGAGGCAGAGGCGGGGCCTGCGCGGGCAGGCGTGCTGCGTCACCGCGTGCTCACGTGGCACGCCGCCATCTTGGCCAACCTCGGGAGGGGGCGCCCCTGTTGTGTTTACTCACCCGCTTTTCGAGCTCTTTCCGCCTGGTGCTACCTGGCCGCCTCCAGCGTGGGGCTCAGCTGCTTGCTTTAAGCGTTCCCGCGGCGTTGAATTCCCTGACCTTGACCATCGCTGCTCCGTATGCTGCGAGGCAACGGGACGTTGGGAGGCTCTTATTTGATTTTTTTTTTCAGTGCCTGGCCTCGGGATAACATCATAGGAGCTGGGTGGAGGTGGAGGCAGCGGGATCAAAGGGAAGATTGGGCCTGGGAAGATCAGCAGTAGAGCACTTAGATAGTACGGATGAGGGCCTAGGCTTGGTTCCCTAGCAAAAAGTTTAAAGTGTCCTCTTAAAACGTCGTCTTAGGCTGGGCGGTGGTGGCGCACGCCTTTAGTCCCAGCCCTCAGGCAAGTGGATCTCAGAGTTCCAGCCAACCTGGACTACAGAGTGAGTTCCAGGACGGAGGAATCCTGTCTCGAAAAAACAAACAAACAAAAAAGTAGGTAAATAAAGTAAAAAGCTTTGTGCCATTAAAAAGGAACATGCTGAAGCACAGATTTTTTTTCCCCCGAACTCTTAAACTAGAACGTAGTGCCTGTGCCGCTAGCATGCTGGGTGCCCAGAGGGTATGTGGATGCTAGGAACAGTTCTGCAAGAGCAAGTTCTCTAAATAGCAGCACTGTCTCTCCACTCTTGTTTTTCCGTACACGTGCGGGAAGTGTTTTGTTTTTCTCTGTGAAGTGGCCTTCCCTTATGAAGTACCTATTTGCCCGACCCCTCGTCATTCCTAGTTAGTAATGGAATCAGTGTAACACAGGTAAAGCCAGTCTCCCCATTCTTACACGAGTCATACTTGAAAGATGGTTTGGTGGTTTAGAGCACGCATGGCTCACAGAGCTCAGTTCGGTTCCCAGTGCCCACCTAAGGTGACTTACAACCCCCTGTAACTCCAGCTCTAGAATTACTTCTTTGGCCTCTACAAGTATCTGCGTCCACACGCACATATCCCCCCCCACACACACCTAGAAACAATAAAATAGATTTTAAGGGAGTTTTGAGAATTTCCCACTGGCAATGTGACCCTGTAAAGTCACACATTTGCCTCAACTGACATTTCATACACTGCCCTCAACTGTTCCCTCTACCACTCTTGGCCTTTTATTAGGTTTTACTCTGTTAACCAGGTTAGCCTTGAACTCCTAGTCTCAGGTGACTGTCCAGCTTCAGCCTTCCAGGTGACAGTGGATAAAAGACATGTGCTACATGTCCAGCTTGAGTAGCTCCTTCCTATTGAAGCTAGCTAACTTTGGTTGTCAGGATATGGGTAGATATATATGTATGTACATATATATATATAATCAATTTTTGAAGACTCCCCCCTCCTTTTTTAAAAATTTTGTGTGCATTGATGTTTTTGCCTGCATGTATGTGTGTAAGAATACCAGATCCTCTGAAAAGAGTTACAGATAATTGTGAGATGCCATGTGGGTGCTGGGACTTGAACCCTGGTCCTCTGGAAGAACAGCTAATGCTCCAATCCTCTGAGCCATCTCTCAAACCCTATGATTCCTCCTTTTCTATACTGCAAGCCTTCATCTTTTGTCACACTGTAATCTTAGTAGTTTCCTGTCTGGTTCCACTAATGCCACAAAATGGAAGACAACTATTAGTTACTGGGTTTTTGAATTATCTAAGTATCACATGCCTGCAGAAGCTCCCAGGTGCCATGACTAAAGATCTGAGTACAGAAGAGTCAAATCTCCACATCCAGAACAGGTAAATCTGCCAAGTGGTTGGTAAATCTGGAGGAACACAGCCTCAGGAGCTTATTAATGGTCCTCCAAAGTTTCATGGACATTCAGAAACAGCACTGACTAGAATTAGTCTGTAAATGGAAATCCATGTGTTCATGTGACAATTCTGAGATAATCAGAATATATAAAATTTAAAGGTTTGCATATACACATAACAATTCTAATGACTCTGTTACCAAAATATACAGCATGTTGAGACAGGGTCTCTGGTAGTACAGGCTGGCTTTAAACTGGGTATGTAGCTGAGGACAAACTTGAATTCCTGATCCTCTTGCTTCTGCTTCCTTAGTGCTGGGATTATAAGTGTGCATCCCCATGCCCACATTTCCTACCTGTTTTTAATCTTACCCATGCCATCTTTCCAAAGTTAAATTCAGTCAGACATGGTAACTCTCATCTCTAATCCCAGAACTCCAGAGGCTGAGGCTGTAGGAGCATGATGTGTTTTGAGGCCAGCCTGGGCTACATGAAAAAGCATAGATCCAACCTCAGTTCAGATGATGTCCTCCAGCTGGTCCTTCCTGTTCTTGTCTGTCTCTGCATCTCCCTGAAGGCACAGACTTCATAACTCTTAAGACAATGTCTGTGCTTGGTGGGCAGCACTTGGTAACTATTAAACTGGGGAGCTTGGTCCACACTGCAAAGAAGAGCTTCAATGTCTGAACAATTTGAAGGGCTCCCTTTAGTTTTCCTGAGACCAGGAAATGCTAGAACAAATGAATTCTCACATCCAGAAAGGCTGGAACTCACAGCTCAAGGCAGAACACACTGTCTGCAACTCAGGTCTTAAAACCATACATACCACAGGCTCAGAGAGAAGAAACTGAACATTTAACTCTGGGAATTCCTGACAATTGGACCAAGTGGTTAAAGTTGCTTGCAGCTAAGTCTGAGGACCTGTGTTGGATCCCTAGGACCCCATCATACAAACAGAACTAACTACTGCAAGTTGTTCATGGCACCTACACGGGTACCATAGCAAGTTCCCCTCACACCCAACAAAACAATACCAATGTAATAACATTGGGGTGGGGGGAAAGCAAGGGGCTGGAGACAGCTTGGAGAACACTTGCAGAGGACTCAGGCTTAGTTCCCAGTGCCCATATAGTGGCTCACAATCATCTGTAACTTCAGTTGCATGGGATTCAGTGCCTTTTGTCCTCCTGAGGCATTCATTCAGTGTACATACATAAAGCAATACATTTATATAAAGATAAGAACTAGTAAAAAATACTAAAAAAGAAAACAAAGAAAAAAAAAGAAATCCCAGCACTCAGGAGAAAGAGGCAGACAGATCTCTGTGACTTCGAGGCCAGCCTGGTCTACAAGAGCCAGTTCCAGGACAGCTTCCAAAGCCACAGAGAAATCCCGTCTCGAAAACAAAACCAAAATCAAAACAAAACAGAAAAAAAAAAAATCTCTGTCTCAAAAAACAAAACAAACAAAAAAGTGAGTTCCAGGACAGCCAGAGCTGTTATACAAAAAAACCCTGTCTTGAAAAGCCAGGGAAGGAAGGAGGAAGGGAGGGAGGGAGGGAGGAAGGAAGAAAGGAAGGAAGGAAGGAAAAGAGAAGAGAAAGAAACCCAATTTTCAAAAGCAATGGAATTTGGAAAAAGATTCCCAAGGTTAAATAAGAAAATTTCTAACAACTGCTTTCTTGGTTTTCACAATGACACTGCTGTCCCTTGACCCAGTCTCCGCCAACTGCACAGCTCTGCAGCTCACTCTCTTCCTGAACTATGACTTTCCCATTTTAGTGTCTGAAGCCATGTTCTAAAGGTCCCAGAAAGGGGGTGTGGGTTCAGTGCTAGAGTGAATGCTGAATCTCCAGGAGACCTGGGTTCCATCCCACCCCCCCCCACACACACACACGAGCATGCATGTGCACCACCCAGTGTATGGAAAATTAAACACAATCAAGCATCAATATTTATTAACACAAGATAAAGGAAACACATTCAATGAGTTAATAGAACACTGTCCAGCCAGATGTTAAATTTAAAAATGTATTATCTAATCTAATTTCAAATAAATAAAAAAAAACCTTTATACATAATTACACAGTACTTAGTTTGAATTTGACAGGGGTAAATATCCTCTCGACAGAAAGTAAACAAAACAGCATTTAGGACTAAAGATCTTCACATGTCATTGCAGTCTCTTCCTCAGGACAAATCTCATGGCCCATCTACATCTACACAAGCCTAAGTCAGGACTATTGAGTGAAGTCAAAGGCTGGCTGTGTGTACAGAGAGCTGCAGCCTCTGGCTCCAGACTCTCTGGGTTTTACATCAAAGCAGATGACACAGGGAACACTAAGGCAGTTATAAAGGAGTTCCAGGGTAAGGTAAGTCCCCAATGCTTGGTTTTAGAATCCCTGGATATTCAAGGAAAGTAACTGATTTGGCCAAGATATTGAGCACCATGCCTGGGGCAGAGACCTTAACAGGAGCCTAAGGTCTCAGGCCCCTGGGATTCCAGGGGAGCATTAAGCAAGCACTGCCCAGGGACTAAAATGAGGAGGAGATGGGCTATAGCCCCTGCAGTTGAGCCAACACAACCACACACAAAAGGACTTGATACTGGGGAGAATGGACCTCTGTGTGTATGGTGGGGAGTCTGAGGGCTCAGGTGCGTGGGATGGTATGTGTGCAGCTGCAAGAACTCCCCAGTCCATCTCAGTCTCTCTCCTGAGGGCCAGCCCAAGGTTCACAGATTTCTCTTGCCAGGTGTGGCTGGTTGCACAAGGCTGTAATTTCAGCACTGGAAGGTTGAAGCAAGAGCATCAAATTTGAGGTCAGCCCAAGCTATACAGTAAAACCCTATTATATATGCACAAACACACAAAAAATAAAAAGAAAATAGTTTTCTTTTGCGTAACTAGGACAGGGATTTACACTCAGCCTCGCCCCCATGCTCAGTGGTAGGAAGGCCTGCAGGCCATTTTTAATTTGTAAATGATGGACTTCCCTTAGAGTGCTGCTTTCACAGTTAGTTCAACCAGGAAGTGTCCACTGAATGTGGAAAGGGCCAGAGCAGAAACTCCTTTTAAAGAACACACACACACACAAAAAAAACCAAGTCTGAGATTAAGATCTGTTTCAGGGGTCTATCACAAACCCCATCAAGGAGGGAGGTGGACTGACGAGGACCTCAGGGACCTCTCTCAGCTTTAGTTCTATCACTAGCATGGCCTGGCTTTAAGGGATGGGCCCAAAGCAAGGGTGGGGGCTATTCATTATCAGAAAGGGGGTGAAAAAACTAGAGGCGTGAGGCAAGGCATGGAGGTGTCTGCTGCAGTCTCAACACTCCGGACAAGCAGAGGACGGAAGACCAGAGGTTACGGGCCAGCTCAGTGGTAGAATGTTTGCTTACCACAGGCCCTGTGTTCCACACCAGCATTGTTTTAGAAAAGATGACCTGCGAATGACAACTGGATAATCACCCCAAGTACTGGGAGCTGGCCACAGTAAGATGAACTGGCTACAGTTCTGTGCTTGAAGGAATAATGACAGGGCTGCACGCTCCAATATGACAGTCACTAGCCGCATTTGGCCACTGAGATGTGAAGTGGCTAGTCTGAACTAAAATGTGTTTAATACACATAGGATTTCTAAAATTAAAAAAAAATTCATATCAAAGTAATAGTACTTTTTGTAACTATGTTAAAATCAATACCACAAACTTAAAAAAAAATATTTGCAAAACAGTTTTTGGACTTCCAAAATAAGCAAGCTGTTTCCTTTGGAGATGAAGTGACCCCTGAATGGGATGTTACCCTGCCCAGGAGGTGGTATCCCTTTCCTGTACACCCCAATACCTCCCTCATCACATGCAAACCAATCCTATTGCAAATGCAAAGGCCCTGAAGTGGAATTCCGCTCAGAGGGCTTCATTCTATGGAGCAAGAGCAGGGAGGAAGAGGATAAGAAGAAAGGACCATAGTGGCTGAGTCATGACTAAAGACAACCCAGGAGTGCTGCCCTGGTGAAGAGTCTGGTCTTTGCTTAATAAACCATATTTTTTAGGGTAATTACAAGTCTTACAAATTGCTTAAAAACACATTTAGTTTACAGGATGTTACAGTGGGGTAAATAATATGTATTATCAAAATAGTCTAAATAAATATTTACACAGTAGACCAGAATGGGTCAAAGAGAACCATTCTGATTTAACAGGTTCATTCTTTTTCACTTGAAGTTTTAATTTTTAAAAATATTTCTGTAAGAAAAAAATAATAAAATTTAACTATATTCAAATACATGAAGTTTCAGACCAAAGGAAGGAAACTGAGCCAGAGGCCAAACTCAGACTCACACTGAGTGTGGCCCAGGCACCAGTTATTTCAAAAGTGTTTCTTGCATACATCAGACTTCCCTGTTTCCGAGGGGCCTGGCTATTCTGGCAGCCCAGACTGGTTAGTGTTAGGATGTGCACATGTGGCCCAGTTACTCCCAGCCTAGCATTCGCCTCCAGACATCAGAGGACTCTTATGGGTAGGCGGAAAAACTACTCCTAACAGAGGACAGAGTTCACTCCTCAGCTTTCAGGGGTTGGGGGAGCTCTATATGTAACCTGCAGACACAGAGCATGGAAAAAGCAGAACTTGTAAATTCTCAGTAGTCACTCTAAATTTGAAAAAGTTTCAACACTGGTCCGAGTGAACTACTGCGGTTCTGTACAGTAGGTTAGGAACTGATGACTCTTAACTACCTCTAAAATTCTGACATGAGATTTTTTTTTTTTTTCCAGCTCAGAGGAATGGGTTGAAGAATCCTTAGAAGCTCAAGCTAATTCTGGGAATACAAGCTTTAAAAACACAGGCAGCTTTAGTGCAGAACACCCCCACAGACAGGCGCTGTGCTGCTGGGCCAGCTGGTCCGACCACACAGACCCCAGCAGAAGCTCAGCTACACCAGCTGCAATTAGGGAAGCTGACTGCTTAGTTCCTTAGTAGAGTTATGGGCACTCTTATTTACACATTTAAACACTGGTCAGATGTTTATAATTGAGAATTAGACACATCCAGCGGCTCTCACGTGTGTTATCTGATTTGACTATGGGCTGATTCAAGCTTGGTAGTTTCATGTTAAGAAACCCTGCAGAATACCTGACTACGGGAAAATGTCAAAATACAGTACAGATTGGGGCACTGTGAGACTCAGATTACCCCTTCATGTGAATTCATTAAACTCCCTTACAAAGGTCTAAAACATTAGGTAAAAATACAGGTATTTATACCAGGTGAGGAAAATGCAACATGCATGTAACTGCTTTAGTAACGTGCTGTCGCAGACGCCAGAGTTCAGGTCTGATGTACTGTTAACATGTTTTAGTTGCAACCACACAATTCCCCTTTCCTGGGTGTTCTGTGGCTGCAGAATCCCACAGGATGAGATGAAGGCTACACTGGAGCCATCTTCATGTCAGCTGCAAGCCTGCTCCTAGCCACGGGGCTTCAGTCTCTCTGATCCTTAGGATGGTCCCCACAGGGCTGGCTACATGTTATAAGCCACATAGATAGGGTCTAACTGGTCAGCCAGAAAGCTGTCTCGGAGGTGCATCCTCTGTTTCTCTCCTCTGGAGTTGATGGGGATGACCCCTGGGTCCACCACAACCACAACGCCAACGATGAGGTAATGTTCTTCTAGAACCACATTGGTCACGAGAGGAACCAGGTCCAGGGCTTCCTGCTCAGAGCCACACAACTCCACAACCACCACCAGCAAGTTGGTCCATGTGAACACGGCACTGAAATCCAATGACATTCAGTTAACATCCATCCATTAAAAATACTTATTATTTTGACGAGTATATGTGTTTGCCTGCACATACATAAGTGATCTGTGAACATGCAGGGCCCAAGGAGGTCAGAAGACAATGTTGGGTCCCCTGGAACTAGAGTTCCATCTGGCCGTAAGCCACTATGTGGGTGTTGAGAACAGAGCCTATGTGCTCTGCAAGAGCAGCAAGTGCTCCTGACTGATAAGCCATCTCTCCAGTCTCCTCATCCTTAAAATATTTCTTTTGCATTAATTGTGGGGAGGATACATTTCATGGGTTGTGGAGAGGTCAGAGAATAATTTGGGAATCAGTTCTCTCCTCCCACATTTGGGTTTTTGCAGATTCCATTCAGGTTGTCAGGATTGGCAAAAGTGCCTTTTACCTTGGAGCATCTCGCTGGCTCTGTCTGGGCTTTTGTGCTATCTTCTGAGACTTACACCCATCCACTCCTGGATGTCAATCAGAGGCAGCAGCCATGTATGTGAACGGCTGACTAGCTGAGCCTTCCAGCATCCTCTCAGTCTGAGAGTGGGACTGCCTGGACTGAGGACTGGGTGGAAGGGCAAAGCAGCTGTCCAGGAAAGAGGGAATCAACGCAGGTGATCACAGCTTAAGAGGTGGGAGAGGCAGTGACTCCTAATTGTCCACCTGTCCCTTACTCTGAGACTCAGTCTTTACAAAAGGCAAAGACACCAGGTGTTCATTCCATTTCCTCTTCAACGTAAGTGTCCTTTATCTGTTTGAGATAGGGTCTCTCTAGCTTAGGTGAGCAAATATGTCTGGCTTGACTTAAGCTCCCTGGCCCATAAGACAGGGTTTCTCTGTGTAGCCCTGGCATGTGCTAGCACACCTGGCTTACTTTCTTGAACATAATGTCTGTTGCTTTCAAGTGTCACACATTGTGTGAAAGTACTGTGAGGTAGACACACTTTCCATTGAGCAGGTTACTACATCAGAAGGTATGTGCTGGCTTTGGATATACAATGCTAAATGACTGTTAAAATTATCCAAATATCAAAGATAGCTGTAAGTAATATAAGATTGTAATAAAGCTGAATATCTAAAATAAATTGTGGCACCAAAGTTCCTACATGCTTTACCAAAGTTTCCTCATGTAAAGCTGTTCTTGCCTTGATGTTTAGGTCTAAAGAGAGAATCTGACCCAGGCAACCCATAAGACCCTTTTCTGTGGGTGTTTGAGGCAGGATCCTTCTTTGGGTAGCCCAGGCTGGTCTGCCACTCTAGATGTGCCTGTGTCAGCCTCCTCAGAGCTGCCATGTCCAGGAGGAACATCTACAAAGTAGTATTTGGAAAGCATGAGAACCTATCATAGAAACCGTACTTATGTAACAGGGGACACGCTGGAGAAGAACACAGGAGTTAAACAGAGAAGAAACAGCTTGCATTCTCTATCATTAAGAACCCAGAATAAAGCACTCAGGAAGCAGAGGCAGGCAGATCTCTGTGAGTTTGAGGACAGCCTGGTCTACAGAGTGAGTTCCAGGACAGGCTCCAAAGCAATACAGAGAAACCCTGTCTCGAAAGACCAAAACAAACAAACAAACAAACAAACCAAACAAAAACCAAAAAAATCAAAACCAAAAACCCAGAACAACACCTGTGATTTTTGAGGCTAGCCTGGTCTACAAAGGGAGTTCCAGGAGTGATAACATTATTGAGACAGACCCTGTTTCAAAACAAACAAACAAAACCAAGAATGAGGTACTGGAGAGATGGCTCAGTGGTTAGAGCACTAGCTGCACTTGGGTAAAGTAGGAGCTCTGATTCCGGTACCTATGTTGGGTGGCACATAACCACATGTAAGTCCAGCTGCAGCTCTTCTGGACTCCAAGGGTACTTTTGTACATGTGCCATATTCTCTCTCTGTGTCTCTCTCTCTCTTATACACGTACACACACATTAAAAACAAAAACAGAGAATGAAAACTAGTAGGTGAAACCCAGTTTTAATCTTAATGAACTTCCCACCAGGCTAATCCCTGGATAAGGGAAATGCAGGCAAGTTCCTGTGATGAGAGAACCAGCTGAGATGGTAAGCCCATTCTTTTTACCTGCTTCCCACTGACAGTTTAAAACACATGTGCTGATTTGATCTTGTAGTGATCAGGAAGCACAAGGATGTATGGAGAGGTGAGACTTTATTGTTAGTCATTTTTTTTTATCGTTTATTATTATGCATGGGAGAGAAAGCATGTGTGTATACCTCAGCCCACATGTGTAGTCAGAGGACAGCTTGCTGGAGTTGGTTCTTTCCTTCTACCATGTGAGTTCTGGAAATTGTACTCAAGTCACCAGGCTGGATGGTAAACATGTTACCTACTAGGTCAACAAGCAGGCCCAGAGTGAGCCTCTAAATTGGGTCTTTTGAGCTTAAAGTCAATTATTCCTACATTATACTAACTAGAGGCAGGTGATCCGCTAATTCTTCTACTTATGAAAGTCTGCCCTTACAAACTGCCTCAGTCCCACAGCGTCCTGTCACGTTCCCTGGTGGCTACAAGGCCTTTACCGTTCTGGTGAACAGGCTTTGATGGCCACAGTGGGCCATGCAACCAAGATGGAAGGTGATTTACATATTTCCTGACTCTTGAAGGGGTTCCACATGAGTAGGTGGGATTGGAACAAATAGCTCATTAACCGGATCACTTTTCATCATCACTAACGCTGAAGTTGGAGTAAGTTGTATGGGGAAATTACCATTCAGCAATGCTCCTGTGCACCCGGGACACAGAGGTCTCTATATCAATCGGATGGTATCGTAATCCTCGAAGTTCCAGTGTCTCATCCAGTGCACCCACCACATATAAGGCGTCGTGACGTTCTGAAAGAAGGAACAGAAACAGGCTTCAGATAGATGCCTGCTAAACACCATATAGTGTTGACATGGCCAGTCAGCTGGCTATGACTCTGGGAAAATTCCATAAGGTCCAGAGTCCGGTTAATTGCTCTGTGAGACAGAAATAAGGTTAAGTGGCTGCTGTAAGGAGTATGTTGTTTAGTTTGGACTGGAGAGGTGGCTTGGTAGATAAGTTCCACATAAAGAGTCCATATAAAGGTGGAAGGAAAGAACGGACTCCAGAGTTGTCCTTTGACCTCTTCGTCTGTGTGGTGGTGTGCAGAAACACACACAGTTTTTTAAGATCTTCTTGTTTTGTTTTGTTGTTTTTCGAGATAGGATTTCTCTGTGTAACAGCCCTGGCTGTCCAGGAACTAGCTCTGTAGATCTGGCTGTCCCTGCCTCTCCTGGGATTAAAGTCGTGAGCCACTACCACCCAGTAAGATTTTATTTTTAATTGTGTGTACACATGTATCTGTATATTTGTACGTGCCCTAAGAGTCCAGAAGAAGGTACTGAATCCCCCAGAGCTGGAGTTACAGATGGTTGTAAACCACTTGATGCGAGTGCTGGGAACTGAACCTGGCTACTCTGGAAGAACTGCAAGTCCTCTAACAGCTGAGCCATTACACCAGCTGCAAATTAAAAAAAATAAATAAATTAAATGATTTTGCAACACAGTTGACATGGAGAGTAGCACATTACTAGGTGCTAAAAACTATTATATGATAGGAATTGTGCTAAGTGCTAGGGAGACACAAGTGACCAAACATAGGTCTTGCTCTGAACACCTGGTGGGGGCTGGTTAGACAGCTCAGCAGATGAAGGTACTTGTCAACACAACATACACAGTGGAAGGAACACCCAGCCCTGCAAACTGTCCTCTGTCCTCTAATCCACAAATGCGCGCACGCACGCGCACGCGCACACACACACACACACACACACACACACACACACGCTCTCTTGCCCCTCCCCCATCTAATGCTTGAGCATATACACATACAATAATTAGGTTAATAACTAAAAGTATTTTTTTTTAAAGACCCAGCTGGGGAAGATACAAACAGGAATTCCCCTGTAGCAAGTTAAGTAAAGGACAGGCAGGGGTAGACAGGATCTCTGAGGAGTTGGGGAAACCCATTAGCCCTAAATCAAGGATTTGAACAAAGCTCAGCCACAAGAATTAGCTGGGGGAGGGGAGGAGAGGAGGATCTGAGACACAGGGGCAGCAGCCACACACCACAGTTTCCACACTTCAGAGCACCGAGACCAGTCCGACCAGATTCAACCCAGCAAGCACACAGAAGGAAGGTGGCTTTTGCAATATTTTCTGGTAAGAGTAGACTTCTGATGATGAAATAACAGCAGAAACACAGCAGCAGTCAGGTAATGATTTTCTCTACGGGCCAGCATTGAATGCACCCCATCACTCAATTGCATATCATTTCCACCACAGAGGACACCATGCTCTGACTCTTCAGAACAGGTGGAGTGACTGCTCAGTCACCTGGCTAGGGACTGCAGCCCCACCATGAAACATGGAGAAATGATACACACTGTTCAGCTAAGAAGAAATGGTCTAGCTGAGGCCTTTACAGCCCATGGTGTTTTCAGGATCAATTCAGTGTGCAAATATAGCTAGTGTTGAGAATTCTGCAGTGGTTATCAATACCAGAGAGGAAGAACACGTAGGACCTGTGATGGGCAGAGAGTGTTGCCAAAAAGCAGGCTTGGATCTACTTCAGAAACAACTACCAGGCCAAGCATGGTAGCACACACCTCTAATCCCAGCACTCCAGAGGCAGCGCTGGACTCAAATGGTGTGCTAGGGTAGACGAGACAAAGGAAGAAAGAGCTGTCCCAGGCTTGTTCAGGGTTGGTATGGGTCCTAAGGGAGTTCTGCTCTGCCTGAGGTATTCCCAAGAGCATTGCTAATGGGGAAGAGAACAGGGGTGGAAGTTACCTCCAGTGGCTGCTGTGAGCTCAGTCCTGCGGACGAACCCAAGGTATCCTGTCCGAGCCCAGAGAGTCTGCGCAGCATCTCCGAAGCTCAGGCGGGTGTTGAAATGATCAGCTTGAAGAGTCTCGCTATCATAGATGGTATAGTAACCACTGGCTGTATGGGGACTATTCACCCAGATCTTCAAGAAAAGGAAAGAGGACGATGTTAGTTCAGTTCTCCTGGGACAGACTATTTTTAAAATCTCATTTTCATATTAACAACACAATCACAACAGTGTGTAGTTGACATCTGCTAGCACTGACTGTCTGCCAGACTTCAGTAACCTGATCTCCATCAGCTGTGACACACAGGACAGCCACATAGCCACACCATTGTTATTCTTGCTATACAGGTTGAAAGAAAAGTCTACAAGTTCCTCTAAGATGCAGGACTAAAAAGGAGACCCTACCCCAATGGTTAGCACCAGAGGCAGTGTTCCTGACCACTAGGATGCACTGCCTCCCTGGGTTCGTTTCTCACAGGCTTCCAGAGTCCCACAAAAGCACTAAGGCATGGTTACTACACTGCTGGTGTAACCGTGGCACAAGGCTCTTAGGATAACACTACAGGACACTTGAATTCACAACGTAGACAGACTAAGAGCTCACAACTACGATAATAGCAGCCACCACTGGATCTATTAGAAACTTGATAGTCTACTTTGGTGCATTGCAGGTCTAGATATAATGCATATAACTATCAAAATTTCTGTTCTTTATGTGCGGTGCATGTTGTCATTATTAAAGCTGAGGAAACAAGTCTGAGGAAGAAAGCAAGCAGCCTGCCCTCCCTTGATAGCTGGTAACTGGCTGTGGTGGTGTCAATGAGAATTGCACCCATAGGCTCACACATTAAAACCATTAGAAGGGTCAGGGTGTGGCTTTGTTGGAGGAAGTGTATTACAGGGGGTGGACTCTGAGGTTTCAAAAACCTCTCTCTCTTTCTCTGCCTATAGATCAGGATGTAGCTTTCAGATACTATTCTAGTGCCTGCCTGTATGTTGCCATGGTCCTGGCCATGATGATAATGAATTAAACTGGTTTTTGTTGTTGTTATTTTTGAGACAGGGTTTTTCTGTAGCTTTGGAGCTTGTCCTGGAACTCACTCTGTAGACTAGGCTGCACTAGAACTCACAGAGCTCTGCCTGTCTCTGCCTCCTTCCTGAGTGCTGGAATTAAAGGTGTATGCCATCACCACCCAGCTGGACTAAAACTGTAAGCAAGCCCCCAATCCAATGTATTTTCTTAGAATAATTGCCACAGTGTCTCTGCCCAGGATCAGAGGCGGCTCTCTGACGTCTACACTTCCAAGGCTCCTCCCACTAAGCTATGGGTCAATCAGCATTCCTTAACGATCTGGGAGAAGGGGAGAATAAAAGACTTAAGAGGACTTTCATATTAAAGCAAAACCCACAAATTTTGGACTATAATAACATATGTGAATTTGTATACACGTGGCTCCTCTTGGTTCCAGCCCTTCACAGGTGGGAACAGGTAGCATTTGGCTGGTTTGCCTTCAGCTAAGGGGATGGCAGTGAACAAATCTGAGACTATTTCTACCCAGGCTTGGTTTCAGTCTCAGCCTCCTCCTTTTGTCCCTTGCCATCACAGCTTTTCCAGGAAAAACAGCTACTCCCAGTGGAGGGAATGGAGGGCAGTCTAGTTCTGTTGGCTTCTAGTGTGTGGTCCTTAACACCCCCTTCACTAGGTCAGAGCCCTGATTTCCGAGTGAACATGAGATCCACCTTTCAGAGTGAACGTAGGAGTCACACCTACCTCACCCAGGTGAGAGTCTCCCACAGGTCCTTTGGTCTCCGGATTAACAATAACTACTTTTACTCCAGGTAAGATCTAAGAATCGAAGGGGAAACACAGATGTTCAGTCAGTCAAAGCTCCTAGCTTTGGCTGTGGCTTCACCTACTGGCAGAGGCCTATCTAGCATGTCTGACCTCTAGACCTGGGCCTTTATCTCTAGGGACTAGAAATGGCAGGAGCTGCTATCATTCAAGGGGCCCTGATGCACTTTTCTAGTCGTTCCTGGTCAATCTTCCTCATATTGACTGAGACCCAAGAATCAGTAAGTTCCACTCTCCACCTAAAGCAGACTCAGGATGCCATCTCTTCAGATGAGAAACTTCTGTCCAGGGCCACAAAAGTGAGACTCTGTTATCCTTTTGGGCAAACCCTTTCCAAACATAAAACAGCAGGGGGACAGCATAGTCAGCAGGGGCTGCAGCTGGGAAGATGCAGTAGTGAGAACACAGAAAGACATCATGGCCTGGCATTTCGAGAGACGTCAAATTTCCATCTTCAGGAGGGAAAAGAAACTAAGCGCTGGCCAAGTGGACAGTTCAGGGCTTTTCATGCATCCTGGGCCAGGACTGTAGCTCATCAGTACACCAATTAGTGTGTACAAGGACCTTTTGGGCAAAAAGACAGGTGGGCTAGCCAGCCATTCTGATCACCTGTCTCACCCCGTTGAAATTGTTAGCTTGGGTCTCTAAACCCTACCAGAGTTTAACTATCTAAATCTGGAGGAAGGAATGAAAGGCAAGTTCCCTGGAGTCTCAGCCTGCCCTCGGGCATTCTTGAGGCCCTGGGCACCCAACTGCAGACATGGGCAGTTAATGGCACAGCCCACACAAGCAGTTCACTCAGCAAAAGCACTGCAGTCAGCTCACTTTGGGGTGACATCTGCTGAATAGATTAAGCAAGATCTCCTTTGATTTTCTCTTCTCTGTGCCTCAAGATTCCTAGGAGGAACCTGAGATGTTGTCACAATCCTGTCCTCTGTCTAGACAGGGCAGGGCAGAGGGACAATGTGGGTGGGGGAGATGCTGCGGATGGAGGGGATGGGGGATGAAGTGGTGCTAGAGCTCTGCTCCCTGATGTGCTTGGTCTCCCACAGCCAGCATCTCTTCTCTATCCTGACTTGACTTTCAGGGTTTGCACAGAACTGGCTTTGTGGTGCTGTTTATGTATGCACTTGTGTACAATGAATACCTCCTTTTTCTGGCTCATCAGTAAGAAAGGCATGACATGATGTTTAAACAATGTGGAGATAAATCCACATCTGTCTTCATGACCATATATACTTATTCTGAAGCCATCCACTAAAGTGAGACTGTTGTGGGCTTAGCCCTAGCTCAGGCTTCTGGCCTTTGCCTCCAGCCCACCCTCCCCCCAACAGCTGGCAGAAGAGAGTACCTTTCCAGACTCAGAGAGCAGGAGGCTCTGGGGGGCACCCCGTTCCACAAGACGAACCCTGCAAAGAAACAGCAGTTAATGTTTACAGTCTTGCTAAAACTGGACTCACCACTAGAGCTGCCTCTCCCAGGCCTCTAACTGGCATCTTCTGTTCCTAGCAGAGCAGGGCTTTCCTACACTCTTGATGCTATAGGTCAGGCAGATTTTTTTTTTTTTTTTTTTTTTTTTGAGGGTATTAATGTGCTAGGTTTCAGTCATAGCTCCTATTGTGAGAACCACAAATGTTTCAGGATAGTAAAATCTTTGGAGAAGATGGGCAAAGCTCTAGGGCAGAATGCTGCTAAGCATGAGGATGTGAGTATGGTTCCCAGCATAAGGAAAGAAGCCACATGTGCTTGCACATGCTTATGATCCCAGTGATGGGAGGTGGAGACCAGCATATCTATGGAGCTAGACAGCTTAGCAGAATTGGTAAGCCACAGTTCTCAGAGAGAGAGCCGTGTCTCACAAAACAAGATACATGATTCCTGAGGACCTGAGTAACAACAACTGGGGTTGTCTTCTGGTCTACAGACACAGACACGTACACACAAACCAACCACCATGGCACAGCCTCAAGTCTACCTGGGTACTCTACCTGGGTACACCAGCTACCAGCCTGGTGTGCACAGGGCTCAGTATCTCAGAAGTGCCCACTATGGGATGAAGCTACAATCTACTCAGCTAGTGAGGAAGCAGTTTTACAAACCCTGGAGTCAAATACAGTATTGTTTCAAAGATCCTGTCCTGCCTCATTATCTTATCTGGCTCATCTTTGGTTTTAAACTGCAGAACAAAGACACTATTTTTTTCTTTTAAATTTAGTCAGGTACTCCTTAGATATCTGTGGCTTTCCTGGAACTCACTATGTAGACCAGGCTGTCCTGAAACTTAAAAAAAAAATCCACCTGTCTCTGCCTCCTGAATGCTGGCATTAAATTATTAGTGCACCACCATGCCCAGACCCACAAACATATTTTTTATATAGCTGGGAGCTAAGATTACATTTTAATTATAGAACAATGGAGGAAGTCAGGCATGGTACATTACCTGTAATCTAGCAGAACCAGAAGCAGGAGGATAACTATAAATCTGAGGTCAGCTTAGACTACATAACAAACTGGCTTTTCAAATCCTAACCTACTCCTTTGGGTGGAAAAATAACCCAAAACCCCAAACCCAGTGAAGCAAATGTGAGACTTAAATCTTTCTTTTTATAAACAAAACACTACTGTTTATGAATAAACATGAATCCTTTCCCTTCCTGTATCACCACTCAAAATCTAAATGTGAGGAGGATGAGGGGGTACTGAGGCTGAGATTTTGCTCACTGTACCTGTCATGTCTCAGAGACTTCAGGTCTACATACACAGTCGTTGGATCGGGCCCCGAGGTTCCCTGAAGAGGAACAAAGCAGCACAGTGTTTATTTAAGGCCTGAATGACCTGTTCCTGTGTATCACATCTCACAGATGAGAGGCTGAGGGTCCCCTGAAACAAAGATTCACTCTTGATTTTTCTTCAACCAAGTAAGACAAAGGCAAAGCCAGCGGGTAGAGGAGCCTTGGGCCTGGCGTTCTCTTAGGTGTCTCTGATGTACTAAAACAGGACCAAACCCAAGGGGTTTACCTGAGCAGGGCTCAGCAGGGATGAGAAGCCACCATGCCAAAACAGATGAGAGCAAGGGGCACAAAGGGACTCCACAGGACAGTATCATGACATTTCCTGCAAGCCACCTGACCATGGTGCCAGTGCCAGGAGACCTTAAAGTCTTGGCCACCTTCTTTCATGTTGGTCTATGCATTCACTTGCCTCGTGAGCCTCCAAGCATCATAAAACCAGACTGTTCTAGACCCACCAAGAACAGCATGGCGAAAAAGGAGATACAGGTATGTTTTAAAAAGGAAAAAGATACAGAAGATAGGAAAAAAAGAAGGCCATATATTAGCTGGGCAGGGGTGGCTCACGCCTTTAATCCCAGCACTCAGGAGGCAAAGGCAGGTGGATCTCTTGAGTTTGAGGACAGCCTGGTTTACAAAGAGAGTTTCAGGACAGCCAGGGCTACACAGAGAAACACTGCCTCAGAGGGGGAAAAAAAAAAAAAAAAAAAAAAAAAAAAAAAGAAAGAAAAGAAGAAGAAGAAAAAAAAAAAAAGGCTGTATACTGTATATTAATTAATAAAATGCAAATAGGACTCAGAGAGGCTCCCAGAGTATTCCATACTAGAAGGAAGATTTATACTGGAGCCTACTAGCTTGCTCGTGTCTCAGCACTTTCCTAGTAAACTGTGGACCAGCAGGCCAATGCTGGGGCAAACAAAAGTCCCATGTTATAGACAACATAAGGAGACACAGAGCAAGTGAAATAAAAAGCCTATAATCCCAGAGTAAGTAAATAGAGCAGTGTGGCCTTGAAGTCTCCACTACGGAGCCTCATTGTCTAGTGTATGTGTGGGACATATTAGCTGCCATTCTTAGCTCTCAGAAAACTAAGGCAGGAAGACTGCCTTGTATTTGAGACTGTCTCAAAGACCACTAACAAACAGCAAGAACGATTTCATGGTATTACCTGTAAACATATTGCTACATTGACCCTGGATCCGAAAGTGGTGCTGACAGCTCGAGGGGACAGACCAATGTCTTTAAAGAGCTTGGAGAAGGACTGCTGGAGGGTGATGCGGGGCCTCTCCTCTGCTACCACCACACAGGTCCTGATGCAGGAGAGGTTGATCCCTCGGGTCTGGAAGACATTGGTGTCAGAAATATGGTTAGGAAGATCCCTCCTTGTCTGAAAAAGCCAAAAGCTACTTTCTTAGCCCAGACATAGAGAAAAGCTGCTTCAGAAAGGAAATGCCCAAACATCTTGTTACAATCACCCACGGGGAGATCCGCTCTGCTCCACTTTTTGTCTTTCTTATTTAATCTAAAATCTTAAGGTGTTGGCTGTGGCTGTGGCTGAGCTGGATCTGTGGGTGTAGCTGGGGTTGGGTCTGTGGCTAGTCTGCTCTGCGGGCTGGTCTGGTCTGTGGCTAGGCCTGGCCCTGCCCACTTGTGGCTGCTCCTCACCTTTAGCACCTCCACTTGGTTCCCCAGCCCTTTAGTGCAGAGCTCCATCACTGAGTAGGAGCAGAAGGTGTCCCTTATCTTGTACTGGTTGACGGTGGCAAGCCAGAGGAAAAGGTTGTTCTCCAGCTCCAGAGGAGGAATCAAGATGGATTGGTGACCAGAATAGACGCTGCAAAGAAGAAGTAGAAAAATGACACACACTTGTTCTCAGCATCCTCCTGGAGAGCTGACACACACTCACTCTCAGTATCCAGAGCACCACATTGATACAAGGCTGACCGATTGATTCATCTGATGCCTACATGATCACAAAACAAAGCAGGCTATGGTAGCTGTGCTAACAAATTCACAGGACGAGCCAAGAGCACAGGATTAAGACAATTCACTCAAAGTGAGAAAGTGGGGGTGGGGGTGCTTCACTACGTGGAGAACACTCAAGTGGGGACAGGCTGGGAAGGTAGAGGAGCAGCAGGTAGGCAGAGAAGTATGGCAGGCACACAGAGTGCAGAGGGAGTGAGGCCAGGAGGGCTGGAGTGATTGTGAAAGGTTTCAGCTGCTATAAGAAGTATGGCTGAAAGTTGTTATGAAACCACCATGGCGTAGGAACTAGAGACAGAAAACCACTGAGGCTGGGAGACTGTTAGAGGGGGCTACAGAGTCTGGGATGGCAAGGATGGATCCCAACAGTGCAGCAGAACAAAACGGGAAGACTGTAGAATCACCTAGAAGATCTACAGCCATCAAGTCCAACCCTCTAAACCCAGGGTCACCAAGAATTCAGTAACATCAGAGTTGGGGTCTGGGTCAATTCAGTACAGAGAAGGCCTCATTAGCTTTTTTCTTCCATGTAAAATGGGTAATTTGCCAGGTTATAAATATGCAATAATCCCACTAGCCTGCAATAGGAGACCTTGAACTCATGGTCAACCTTCCATTTCAGTCTCCCAGTGCTAGAATCACAGGAGCAGCCATCATAGCTGTTCTGTTGCTTGGTTTGCTTGTTCTTCTTTTTAAAGACTTTTATTTTTATTTATTTATTTTAGTTTTGGGGGGACAGTTTCTCTGTGTAGCCCAGACTGTCTTGAAACTCACTCTGTAGATCAGGTTGGCCTTGATCTCACAGATCCAACTGCCTCTGCCTTCCCAGTGCTAGGATTAAAGGTAAGTTCACCACCTCTTGGCTACAATTTTTCTTGGTTGAGCCCACTCTTCAAAGGCTGAGCCATCTCTCCAGCCCAGCTATTTTATTTTATGTAAATGAGTATTTGGCTTGAATGTATGTCAGTGTATCATGTGTGTGCTTGTGGAAATCAGAAGGCAACATCAAATCTCTTGGAATTGAGCCACAGACAATTGTGACATCATGTGGGTGCTGGGAACTAAACAAGTCTTTTTCAAGAAGTAGCAAGTGCTCTTAGCCACTGAACTGTCTCCTTAGCCGCCACATCTTCTTTGTGAGGTGTGTTCTTGTTATGCAACCATACTTGCTTTATGATTCTCCTTCCTTAGCTTCTCAAATTTGTAGAATCTCAAGGACACATTTCCATTCTTGGTCTTGTTTAATTTTTCTAAGACCCAGAAGTGACTTTAATACATAGATAAGTAATGGGAACAACTGAATCCATGAATATTACATGTAACTGTAATAGGAAGTCGAAGATAACACACACATTCTACTTTGGGCCCCATGGACAGCCCTACCCCAGTGAAGACAAGGCCATAGCAGGAAGATGCTGGGGGAATGAGTGATAGGCACTTGTGAAACATTCACGGTGTGTGTATAGGAAGTGAAAATTCAGGTTTCCTGACAGGCAGTGGGAAAAGCATGGACCTGCCAGTACTCAGGAAGCAATCTGGTCAGGGTAAACTGCTGCGTTCCAGCCACATGATGTCACTGTAGCCCACTGTGCCCTTCCTGCCAAGCCTAGGGGGTACATCCTGGCTGCCAAACATGTCATACTTCATCTGAGAATCATCCTTCTACTTGGCTCTGCTTCTAAAACTAGGATTACAAGATGGAACAGAAAGCAGGTAGCAGAACAGTGCCATGTTATAGGAGGGAGGCATAAAGCTAAATGAGGAGAATAAACAAGTAATACATAGAAAACTAGACAAACATCAGAAATACACGAGATGCTTGTATTTTGGAAACAGAAGCATTTTACTAAAGTTAACCAAGCCAAGAAAGCAAAAGGGAGGATGAGACTGCCACAGCTCCAAACCCGTCGGGCTTCTCCATCCTACCTGCAGAGACACCAGAGTGCAAAGCCAAGTCCGCAGTATGGGTCAAGGCAGATGGCGATCTGCCGAGAGGAGTACAACTCACACTGGAGCTTGATGGCTCTACAAAGAGCATTGACTGCAGAGTGGGACATCTGCAAAGCAAGGGACACACACAGGGTGACATTGGCACCCAACAGGCACAGGAACTGCTCTGATCAGCTTCGGCCCCCAAACTCTCCTATGACATATGGGTTTTACTGCTTCATAGCCTAGCCTACATATAAACTAAGCAGACAGGTGTGTATTCCATGGCTGACAGTCTCACAGGACCTGAGTTGATGGCTGCACACTGACCTTACCTAGAGTTCTTACTATCTGTAGCATGTGTATTAGGCACACACTTCACGGTGCAAATCCTTTGGGATAACTTTCTCCAGAAGAGCCAGTGCTCATATTTAACTATAGCTGTGACACTTGACCCTCCACCCACTGGTCTCTGGTACAGCTGGCTAGCCGGCACAACTGAGGTCCCTAGAACAGCAGGCCTGTCTGCTCTCTGCATCTCAGCAGCTCATGGTGAGATCATTTACCTTCACTCCTGTGAGCATGCCGGTTGTGGAGACACTAAAATCAAGATATGCTAGCATCTCAGGAGTGGGCGGCTTATACAGCTGAGGTAACCGTTTCCTGGGTAAGTCATCTGCAATGCAAAGAAGAAACTTGATGTCAGGCAGACATGAGGAACACAGAAACCATTGCTCTTTCACTGCTCCCAGGGCTTTGCTATGGCCAAACCCACCTTCTGGGATGTGTGAAAAAGGTCTGAGTTTCTTGTATCTAACCTGGCAGCTCACTATTGTCATCCTCAAATGCAAAGTAGGGCTGTGGTGCCACTATGCAAAGTAACGCCACATGGGGTGAACTCATTTGGAGACATCTTGATGGATAATAGCTTGGTAAAAAGTAGAGCAGCGGTGTTCAATCCCAGAGATAAACTACATCACCAGCTCTGTGTCCCTGGGGTTACTTCCCCTTGACATCTCTTTTGCATTTCTCTAAAACAGATCTCCAAAACACCTACCTTCAGAGTTACTGAAAGTTAACTCACACAAGGCACTTGTTAGTTTATTTGATGTGTATGCGTGTGAGCCTAAGTGTATGCATGTGCAGAACACGCATGCAGGAGCCTCCTGAAGAATTTGGAAGAGGCATGGATCCCATGGGACTGGAACAGGTGGTTCTGAGCTACCATGTGGGTGCTGGGAACAACCCGTGTCCTCTGCAAGAGCAGTCAGTCCTCTTAACCTCTGAGCCATCTCTCTAGCTCCCACATGAAGTACTCTTAAAATCACAACTTGTGTATATGCTCAAAACGCATTAATTATTGTTATGCTGTGTCCTATTGAAGCACATTATTTACAGTTTAGCATGTCATAGCACGGTGTGGCAATGTTGACTATTAATCTGACAGGATCTAGAATCACCTGGGGGACAGCTGCCAAGCACACAAATAGGGGAATTATTTGGATTAGGTGAGCCTCTGGTCATGGTTCTTAAGGATAATCTTGAGTAGGGTAATTGAGCTCCAATATGGTACCTATTGGAGCATGGCACAGTATGGTGAGCTTGGTTCCTGAGAGTTGCTCTCTTCCTCCTGACTGCAGAGCCAATGTGACTAGATGCTCTAAGTCCCTGCTGCCTTGACTCTCTGCCACTGCACTGCACCGTGAGCTGTGAGCAGAGCCAACTTTCCTCCTTCCTTACCTTGCTTTTGCCTAATGTTTTATCACAGCTACTTTAAAAGTTAGATAGTTCCCTCCTCTAGAATTTGGAATTACTTTTTTTCACTCATTAAAAACACCTCTTCCTGTGCTGGAGACAGAATGATTGTCTAACATGCACAGAGTTCTGAGCAGGGCTCACTTCTGGTACTACAGAAAATTAGATATAGTGGGTTAGATTGTCCTTATCCTGAATTTTCTTTTTAAGTCAAATCCAAGAATACCAAGATGCCTGAAGCTCAACAATGCCCCTGTGATGGTCCTTTGTTTTCTGGGTTAAGAAACAATTGTCAATTATAAATCCCATGTCACTGGATGACTATTACTGGTCACATGTCACCACTATAGCTCCATACTGCAGGTGTACATTATACTAAGCTCTACAAGGCTCATTTCACAGACAGTTTTGTCCAAACTGGGAGGATACCCAGCTTGAGAATCACCTAAAATTCATGCACATATGAGTGAGTTTCCTTCCTTTCTTTTTTTTTTTTTTTTTTTTTTTTTTTTTTTTTTTTTTGAGGCAGGGTTTCTCTATAGATTTGGAGGCTGTCCTGGAACTAGCTCTGTAGACCAGGTTTGCCTTGAACTCAGAGATCTGCTTGCCTCTGCCTCCTGAGTTCTGGGATTAAGGGTATGTGCCAATGCTGCTACCGCTACCACCACCAGCATCTGTTTGTTTGATTTTTTTCATTTTTTGTTTTTTTTCTGTGTAAAAGCCCTGGCTGTCCTGGAACTTCCTTGGAACTTCCTTCGTAGACCTCAAACTCACAGAAACCTGCTTGCCTCTGCTTCTCAAGAGTGAAGATTAAAGACATTCACTATTGCCGTCCAGTTAAATAAGTTGTTTTTCTTTTTTAAACATTCTGGTTTCCATATCACATCACATTTGATAATTTGAGGTACAGCAACAGTATCTCAGAATAGGCTGGAGTTGCACAGCAGTGAATGAAGCTCAAGCTAGAGCCCATGTCTTCTAACTTCTAGTCCACTGTTGTTTCAGTTACATCATGTCGACAAGTCAAGGGTCAGAGTGTCTCAAACATGGTGTGTGTACATGTTTAGGTGTGTCTAGATGCATGTGGATCTGCATGCAAGCATGTATATGTGTATGTGCTTGTGTGCCAGTGAAGGCCAGAGGTCATTTCTTAGGAGTCATTCACCTTGTTTTTTTGAGACAGGAGCTGTCATTGGGACTTGGGGCTCACCAGCTGGGCTAGATTGGCTAGCAAGCTCTAGGGACCTGCTGACACACCTCTGTGGCCAGTTGTTTATGCGATTCCTGGAGATCAGAGTTCCTCACTCTTGCACAGGTTCCAAATGAGATGTCTCTCTAGTCTTTGTCTCAGTATTTTATATGGACTTACATGCATCTAGCCATAAAACATAACCACCTTTGGATGATGCCAAAAGCACCACTGAATACTATTTGTCTTCCCCCACCCCAGGCAGGGTCTCAGGCTGAGGCAAGGCCTAGACTTAAACTAACAATCCTCTTGAGTCAGACTCTAGAGCCCTGAGATTATAGATATGAGCAATCACATGCAGCAAGATACTTTGTTTAAAGAGCACTTAGTATATTATGGGCTGGTTCTTGGACATGGCTTTACTGTGTCCTGTATGTTGGTAATACACATTGGGTGTCTGGCTTTCTCCATGTCAGTGCACAATGAAAGGTGTTACAATACAAAAGCTGTGCAAATGGGTTTGGTGCAGACTCTAGGAAACTCTGGTAGTGAATGGTAGCAGTTCTGGAGCAATAATCCCCTTCCCACCTGTGTCAATGATGGTTGGCCAGGTTTTCACATCCACAGCTGCAGCTGCCTCTCGAGACTTCAGCAACCTCATTAGAGTCTGAGTGGTGAGAATACATGCTGCTTTGCTGACCTAGAAACAAAGGGACAGCAGTAAACATCAGAAGGCTCAGCACTGGCCACTGCTAAATGTACTTTGCTCACCATCCTGACCAGGGTTATTTCATTCTCTTCCCCTTGTGTTTTATTTCTGAAAATGTGTCATGCTTAATTCTCCCAGGATGATGAACATTTTTAACAACAGGGGCTGCTGCTTAAAACAGCTGTACTCTCAGGAAGTACCCTGCAATTTCAATCCTCGTAAAGACCTAATAAACCAAGACACAAATTCTGTAGTGCCAAGGGAATGGGAGGAGGTGGTGGGCGCGCCCAGAATTAGTGTGTGCGATCCGGACCTTACAATGAACACCAATCTGAGGCTATGGACCCAGACAGAAGCACCCACACAAATGGGCTCTGTTCAGCTATGCAGGGAAAGGCAAAATGACCTACTTTCACCCACAAAGTACGTCAATACAAAGAAACACCCAGCGCCTCCCCAGGCCTCTCTGTAGGAGCTAACGAAGACCTATCTGCTGAATTAAACTCTAATGAAATCATCTGTGATGAGCATGGCTTGATACGGCTGTCCTTGGAGAAACAAATGTCCCATCAATTAGAAGTGTGTACCCTGGCAGTGCTGGCCCAGGCTGCCTTCTGTTAAAGGTCACAGGATATAACACAATATAGACTTACTCAATTTCAATTCTCATATATTGTAAGAAAAACAAACAAACAAACAAACAAACAAAACCAAAAAACCAAACCAAAAAGACTTCTATCATCCCCAGGACAAAATTCAAGGGGTTTTGCTTGATTTGGCACTGCCAAGGATTAACAAGTGTTCAACCACTGAAGCCATATCCCAGCCCTGAAAACATCATATACACACACACAATGTATCTCGATTATATTCACCCCTACCACCTCCTCCAACTCCCTTCATCTCATCTCCCTCCCAGCTTCAGGTCCCCATTCATTCATTCATTCATTCATTCATTCATTCATTCATTCATTCATTTTCTTGAGCTGCCGAGTCCAGCTAGTGGTGACCTTCTGCACATAGGCATAGGGTCAATCACTGGGACATGGGGACCTATCAGTGACCACATTCCTAGAGAAAAGTAGCTTCCATTCCTCTGGCAGCCATCAACTTCTCAGCTGGGGCTTGGGCATAGGGAGTTCCTCTCCCTACACACCTTTTAATGTGAAATAAACAAAATTAACCCAAATAAAAGTGACCTGACTGGGAGAACTTGACATGAAAACTTTCACTGTTTCTTGTGCAAGAAAAAAGTCAGACAGGTGGTAATGTGTAAGAAGGGATTCAGGGCAAGATTTATGGAAAATACTAAACACAGCTCTACCCTCGGTGCTGGGGATTAACATGTACAGTCCCTACCCCTCCAGTCATGGCTCTTCTAGTCAATGATGATCAACACTCTGGCCAGATTTAAAACAAAACAAAACAAAACAAACAAACAAACAAACAAAAAAAAAAAGGAGACCGCTGTTAGTTTATTTTCGTTTGCTTGTTTATTTGTTTTGTTTTTCGAGATAGGATTTCTCTGTATGACAGCTGTGGCTCTCTTGGAACTCACTCTGTAGATCAGGCTGGCCTTGAACTCATAGAGATCTGCCATCTCTGCCTCCCAGTGAGTGCTGGGATTAAAGGCGTGTGCCATCACCACCTTTTTCTTTTCTTTTTTGGTTTTTGAGACAGGGTTTCTTTGTTGCTTTGGAGGCTGTCCTGGAACTAACTCTTGTAGACCATGCTGGTCTCGAACTCACAGAGATCCTCCTGCCTCTGCCTCCTGAGTTCTGGGATTAAAGGCGTACACCACCAACGCCCAGCTTCTGTTTGTTTATTTTTGATACACACTCTCTGTTACTTAAGGTTGGCCTAGAGCTGACAGCTATGCATCTGCTCCTGAGTGCTGGGAAAATGTGATGACTCAGCACTACAGAACCAGGAAATTATTAGGGTTCTTAGTTGTATGAATGTAATTCTATGAAATGGGACAGAGATACGGAAGGTACTCACGTCAACGATCATGCGCACTGTGGGCAATGTGGCAGTAAGGTTCTGAGCATGAGGGGGCCGCACAGTCACAGGTATACACCCTGCATACAGGCAGCCGTAGAATGCAGCAATTAACTCGATGCCTGCAAGACAGAGGGAGGGCACTGTCAGGGGAGTCACTTAGCTGCTGCTACCACAAAGAGCTGAACTCAGAGCCTCCGTCCAGCCTCCAATCATGTGACAGACCACAAGGTAATAAACTCAGGGCCTCCAATCAGGTGACAAGTGGGTTACTTACTCATTTGGTATTGATTTTGTTTTGTTTTCCAGACAGGGTTTCTCTGTGTAGCCCTGGCTGTCCTGGAATTCTTTCTGTAGACCAGGCTAGCCTCAAACTCCCAGAGATCTGCCTGCCTCTGCCTCCCAAGTGCTGGGATTAAAGGCATGCACCACCACCAGGCTTTATTTGGTGTTCAAACAGTCTCTCAAGCACTGGGATTACACACCATACCTACATATGGATTATTAGACAGCTCAAATGAGACACAGACAGAATAAATTTTAATAAGAATAATAGAAAGTCTGGCACAGTGTCTCATAAAGTATTTGAGAGGCTGAGGCAGGCATACTGCCAAGAGATCATGATCAGTCTGAACTACATAGTGATAAAGACTAGCCTGACCATCTTTAAAACAAAACAACAAATAAATAAAAAATAAAGAGGAAGGTAGCATATGAAAAAACTTAAAATATCAAAAAAGGCCCCAAAAAGAACGACACCCAAATTCCCAAATATTGTCTATAAATGTTTGTTTTCATTTAAATGGACTTGGTTATATAAAATTAAAAAAGGGAAAAAAAATTCAAGGTGTTTCAAAAAAAAAAAAAAAGTCCCCAAAAGGCCCAGGAAACAAGGAAGGGATGTATGTATGTATGTATGTATGTATGTATGTATGTATGTATATGTATATGTACACACACACACACAAAAAAAAAAAAAAATATTAGGGTGGTGCCAGCAATCAAACCCAGAGCTTTGCGTATGGCTAGCATGTGTCATGCTTCTGAGCTACATCTTCAAGCAGAGAAGTGAACTCTTGAAAGATCTCTTAAAGGTTGGTTGTGATTATCTTCTATTACTTAGAAAGAATAACTGCAGAAATCAAGGGTATTTAACTAAGGAACAAGGATTTTGGAGACTTCTTAGATGTTGTGGGTCGGCGAGTGTGGCTTAGGGCCCCCAAAAAGTGCTGTGAACCTGCCACTTCATTACTGACAGATGGAAGACAACTTCATGCAAACACACATCCCTCCATGACCAGATGGTCTTCTAGCATTCTTAGTGTCCACACAAATGAATTAGCATAGAAAGAACAACAGAGAAGGGGAGAGGAGGAATAAAAGACCAGGAAACAGTGAAATGGAGCACTGGGGACAGAAGGACACAAGAGGGGAACACAAATATCTTTGTTTTCCTTCTGTCTTTCAATTCAAAGGTTTCACTTAGAATTCTGAATACTGAGCTCCTGAGATGGCTCAGCAGGGAAAAACACACATTATGCACTCTGAGCTGAATTTGACCCCTGAACCCCACAGCGGAAAGAGAACCAACTCCTAAAAGTCGTTCTCTGACCTCTGCGTGCCTACATTCACACTCATACACACTCCACATACATAATAATGAATCAACAAATTCTTAAAAAAGACTATTTATACAAAACTTTCACCAAAGAAATTATACGCTCCTCTTCTTATGTAGAGAAGATTGTATCTGAGCTAAGTTCATAAAAGATGAAAGCAACCATAGAGTGACCCAAACGCCAATCATGGCAGGAATGGTGCTAAGCCAGTAGAGGCCACACAAGCATTCTTAAGAAGGCTCTGGGTAAAATGGTTCTATTCCTGAACATTTCACAAATCAATCCGTTTTGCTTTTAGGGCTGAACTAACCCCAGAGCCTTGGCATGTGCTCATCACTGACTTTCACCTGCAGGCTTCACCCACTTTTCTAGTAGATAGAGTCTCACTGTGGTGCCCAGGTTGGCCTCAGCTCTTGGGGAGCTGTGAAAGTAGGTGAACAGCAACATGCCTTGCTTAGAGGATCTCCAAAAGTCAAGAAGTTAGAGTTTTTCCCCAGTCTTTAACTTATAGTGTTTGTGTACATAAGTGTGTGCACATGAAGGTGGAGATCAGAGACTGCTACTGGGTCTCTTCCTACATTGTGCTTTACCTTTTAAAAAAATGTGCTTGCGTGCATGCTATTTCTATTGAATGCTCCAAGACCGCCAACTGGGCTGGAGAGTGACTCCGCATTCAGCTTGTTGGGATGGACCAAAGAGTTTCCTGGCCAACTCAGAGGGAGGTAGAAGGGCACACAGGGGAGGGAGAAAAGGAGCTGAAGAGTTTCATAGCCCTTCCGGGAAGTGGAGGAGGGGGAGGATATTAACACCTGATATTGATTGAATTGATTGATTGATTGATTGAGGCAGGGTTTCTCTATAGCTTTGGAGGCTGTCCTGGAATTAGCTCTTGTAGACCAGGCTGGTCTTGAACTCACAGAGATCTGCTTGCCTCTGCCTCCCGAGTGCTGGGACTAAAGACGTACACTGGGCTGAGTTTTATTTTTTAATAAAATGATAAAAAGCAATGACAATATCTGGCACCCCATGTTGGGTACCACAAGTAGCAGGCTTTCTAGGATAGCAAGCCCCCAAATCATGACACAGAGACTTATTATTAATTATGAAGGCTTGGTCTTAGCTGAAGGTTGTTTCTGACTAGCTCTTATAACTTAAATTGACCCATTTCTATTAATCTATGTGCTGCCCCATGGCTCATGTCTTTTACTTACCCTCCTGCATATCCTGCCTCCTCTCTGTCTTCTCTGGCCTCTCTCCTGTGCCTAGATTCATCTCTTTTTCTTTTCTCTCTGCCTGGAAGTCCCACCTAACCTCTTCCTGCCTAGATGCTGGCTATTCAGCTCTTTATTAAACCAATCAGAAGGCACCTTGGCAAAGCCACATCTTCACAGTATACAGAAAGATTACTCTGTAACACATGTGCCTGTGTCTAAGCATGTACCAGTGCATGTGGGTGTCTGTGTCTAAGCATGTGCCTGTGCATGTAGGTGTCTGTGTCTAAGCATGTACCAGTGCATGTGGGTGTCTGTGTCTAAGCATGTGCCTGTGCATGTAGGTGTCTGTGTCTAAGCATGTACCAGTGCATGTGGGCATCTGTGTCTAAGCATGTACCTGTGCATGTGGGTGTCTAAGCATGTACCTGTGCATGTGGGTATCTGTGTCTAAGCATGTACCTGTGCATGTGGGTATCTGTGTCTAAGCATGTACCTGTGCATGTGGGTATCTGTGTCTAAGCATGTACCTGTGCATGTGGGCATCTGTGTCTAAGCATGTACCTGTGCATGTGGGCATCTGTGTCTAAGCATGTACCTGTGCATGTGGGTATCTGTGTCTAAGTATGTACCTGTGTATGTGGGGATCTCTGGGAGCCAGAATAGAACATTACACCTGGAGTTATGTATGGGTGGCTGTGAGTCACAAGGACTGACTCTGGTCCCTGGAAAAGTGGCAAGAAGTCAGCTGCTAATCCATCTCTCCAGCCTTTTCGCCTTATTTTTTGAGATAGGTCCTCTTGATGAACATGGAACTCACCCATTTGGCTAGACTAGCTGGCCACTGAGCTTGAGGGGTCTGCCTCTGCCTCTGCAGCATGATGACAGCTGGTGTATACCACACTCCCAGGCTTTTTTTGAAATACAAATTTATCGTGTTCGTGTGTTCGTGTGTGTGTGTGTGTGTGTGTGTGTGTGTGTGTGTGTGGTCAGAGGACAACTTTCGGGAGTTGGCTCTCTTCAACATCAATTCACCAGGAATGACAAGCACTGGCCCGAAGTGTGTGTGTGTGTGTGTGTTCAGAGGACAACTTTCGGGAGTTGGCTGTCTTCAACATCAATTCACCAGGAATGACAAGCACTGGCCCGAAGTGTGTGTGTGTGTGTGTGTGTGTGTGTGTGTGTGTGTGTGTGTGTGTGTTCAGAGGACAACTTTCGGGAGTTGGCTCTCTTCAACATCAATTCACCAGGAATGACAAGCACTGGCCCGAAACCTCGCTTTTTATGTAGGAGCCAGGAATCCAAATTCAGGTTCTTAAGCTTTTGTAGCAATCACTGTGAGGCTGGCCGTGAACTCCAAGTCCTTTTTCCTCTGCTTCCCAAGTGTGGGATTGTTAGGCTGTGCCTGCATGCATGGCTCTTTGTTGTTTGTTTTGAAACAGGTCTCACATGTAGTCCTGGCTGGCCTGGAACTTACTCTATAGACCAGGCTGGCCTTAACTCACAGAGATCTAACTACCTCAACCTCCTGAGTAATGGCTGTCTATGTAACTTGTTACATAATTCTTACTGGTCTTGAATATTTAATTCTCCTGTTGCCTCCTGAGGACTGGAATTACAGCAGTGTGCTGCTACCAAGTGTGGCCTGAGGACCTTTTATAAAGTAGACACTGATGGAATCAGAAGGGAATGCAAAATATACAGTCTCAGCAGAGCTGTCACACTGCTCAATGCAGGGGATGCAGCTCGTATCACACTTTAGCAAGTGTGCATGGAGTGCCTTGGTGCTGGGAAGTACCAGACCTCTGTGGTAGTAGATGGTGGCCCTGAGTTCCCATCCTCTCCTGGTGTCATCTAATAACACAGTTCAGAGTCCAGTTTACCAATCTAACACTTACCAGGTGGGTAGAGCAATACCACATTGTCCCCTGCATTTAGATGTCCCTTGTCCCCAAGTACTGATGCAATCCTCTCTGCTCGCTTATGAAGCTGAAGGCAGCTGGCTGTGCACACAGTAGTTCCCTTTTGAACAGAAGAGGCAAAGTGGGTAGAGGTTCAGTACAGAAACAGAGGCACAAACAAGCACAGTTAAGCAGACATTATACTCCACAGGATAAATTATCAGCTTAAGAAAACTTCCCTGGTAACAAAAGACAGGTGTGGGATTTATTTTCTTTCCCAATGTACCAGGTACTCAGGGTATGTTAGCACTGACTTAAACCAAACATATTTATAGTCTTTCTTTCTTAATGTCTTCATGTTTCTTTCTTAGTACACACGAATTACTCTACTCATGTATTTGTTTGCTTTGAGACAGTGTCTCCTGTGACCTAGATATGTGCTTTGAGTAATGATCTTTAACTCCCCATCTTTCTGCTTCTACCTCCTAGTGCTGGGATTATAGGATAGCATCACCATGCCCAGTTACATGGTATTGGGGATTGAACCCAGAGTCTTGTCCATGCTAGGAAAACACTCTCCAATCCTGCAAATGGCTTGTAATATCTTGGCATTTAAGAGCATGAAGTACCTTGGCATTTAAGAGCATGAAGAGTACGTGGTCAGGAGTTGCCTGGGCTCGCCACTGCAAAATCTCTGCCAGGAACTGGTGCTAAAGTCACAAAGCAGAAAAGAGGACTCGAGGTCAGCAAGTTTCAAAGACTCATGTAAGACGCCCACATTGCACTCTGTCCTGAGCTCACTGGTAGAAACCTGACATGTCTGGAACTCACCTTCCTCACCAGGTCATTCTCTTCAATTTGGCCCAGGTCCCTTCCTGCAGCTTGTGCTATGCGTTTACCAGCAACCAGATTCCCAACCATCACAGAAGCAGGGCCTACACCTATGAACAGAAGCAAAAACCAACTCTGAAGACAGTGATTCAAGTTACAAACTCTCAGAACATTTCCAGCCTGGTTCAAACTCATTCAAAAGTTAATTTAACAATGTTGGGGAAGCATGTGGTCTCTCAGACATGGGCCAAAGAACTTACACTCCAGTGAAAAAGGCAACCAAAAAGTATACACACAGCAGAAACAGTTGGGCAGTGGGAAGTGCTAGAAACAGATAAAACAGACACAGGAGACCCAGGGTGAGGGGATGAGGGGCACAGTGGCTATGGAGCTTGTGTCTACAGGGATAATTTTACTTCAGAGTCCATTGATCCATTCGTTCCCACAAACAGTTTTATTTGCACCGACTGACACAGCCCTAAGAGGAGTGCTTACCAGTAATGGATATTTGGTTTGCAAGAAACTTATCACCTATCAGGATGTGGACTGAGTTCAGCAGAAATATGAATAGCACTGGGCCAGCTAGATGCCTCAGAGGTGTTTCCCACTAAGTCTGACGATATGAGTTTCACCTCTAGAACTGTATGGTGTGAGAAGAGAACCAAGGCCTGCAGCTTGTTCTCTGATTTCCACATGTGTGCCATAATGCATTTGCATGAATTCTCTCTCTCTCTCTCTCTCTCTCTCTCTCTCTCTCTCTCTCTCTCTCTGTGTGTGTGTGGGGGGGGCACTATTAGGAGGTGTGGCCTGGGTGGAATAAGCATGTCACTGTGGGGTCTCATATGCTCAAGCTATACCCAGTGTGGAACAGAGCTCACTTCCTGTTGCGTGTGGATCAAGATGTAAAATCTCAGCTCCTTCTCCAGCACTATGTCTACCTACAGGCCTCCATGTTTTCTGCCATGATGACTAAACCTCTGAATTATAAGCCAGCCCAATTAAATGTTTCCCTTTATAGGAATTACTGTGGTCACAATGTCTCTTCACAGCAACAGAACACTGACTAAGACAAGGGTCTTCTGGGTGCAGCTCTTAGGCGTATGGGTCAGTGGGAGGCAGCTCCCAGGAGCTACTGCACACTGCTGACCTGGAACACTCCCTCACCTTTCCAACACAGCTCTGAAAGCTCCCTGTGCCAACACCATGCTTTCCCTAACCAGTTTTCTTTTCTGTTTCTTCTTTTTCTTAGACAAGTTCTTCCTGTGCCAACCCAGATGGCCCAGAACTCTCTGTAGATCATGCTGGCCTTGAACTCAGAGACATCCACTTGCCTCTACTATGTAAGAGCTGATAACCCAGTTTACCTGGAATAAAGGCTGTATTCCTTCCTTTGAGAGAAGGAAGAACAGGTCACATGTGACTTCCATGGGATCTGTTTGGAGGAGGAATTCTCCTCTTTACAACTTTCTCCTCTCAACTAGCCCAGACGTAGAAACATGGGGCGGAGGTCGGGCAGCCCACAGACCCAAGACAGTCTAAAATAGTGGCCAGTTTTGTTTTATCAGATTCTTCCTTCCTTCCTTAGCCACACTCACATAGGACTCTACTCAGCTATACTGACTTGTTGGGCATGGTCTGACTTGCTCTGAACAAGAAACAGTAGGAGGTGATGACAGAAATAGATGCCCTAACCATGCTTGTGTGGGTTGGCTGGACATCCTGTTTCAGTCATGTATCCTGAGAAAACTACAGCCCATACTGGGCATGGTGGCTCACACCTGCAAATCCAGTAGTAAGGAAGCTGAGGCAGGACTGCTGTGGTTTGAGGCCAAAGCTCACCAACTCGTGAAAAAAAAAAAATGTAGCCGATGAAGAGAACACACAAGAAAATTTGGAGTGTGACCTGCAGCTATGCATACACCATCAGTGAAAAAAAGCAAATGTCTGAGTTTTAGGGTATTGTCATGTAGCACATATATAAGAATAGTTCAATGACAAGTCACCAGAGCAAAATAGATTCTAGAGGAATGGCTTATCTGTTAAAAGAACTAGGGGAAGCAGCAGAGCATACCTGAGGAAGACCTAGCTCTGAATCTTTTACCTGAAGATAAACAGACTTGACTCAGATTCAGATTTTTCTGTGACTTGAGCCAAGACCATACTGACATACTCCCATGGGCCAACAGCATCTCAGTGAGGCTGACTATACACTCATCAACTTTTTCTTCTTTCTTAATTCTCTGGTTTCCTAAATTTAAAAAATATTTATTTATCTATGTAATTAGTTATTTTTAGTATATGGGTGCTTTGCCTGTTTGGACATGATGCGCATGCAGACCTGAGGAGGTTAGAAGAGGGCATCAGATCACCTGGAACCAGAGTTACAGTGTGGGCAGTCACGATGGTAGTGGGAATTGAACCCACGTCCTCTGGAAGAGAGGCCAGTGTTCTAAACTGCTGAACCATCTCTACAGTTGCTACTTTTCTGAATTTTTATCAAGCCTCAAACTCTCACTCTTTTCCCTCACCATCTCCACTCATCAGTGCCAGTATTTTCGAACTGCACTGCTTTTCATAGCTATGTGGCCTTAGAAGGCAATCACAGAAAAAAACAAAACAAACAAACAAAAAAAACAAAAACAGCTTTTGGAGGCTGAAGAACTGGCTTCGTGGGTAAGAGCACTTGTTGCTCTTATAGAGAGAGGACTTATGTTCTATTCCCCGTTCCTTTATGGTGGCTTACAACCATCTGTAACCTAGTTCCAGGGGATCTAACACCCTCTCTGGCCACCTTAGGCACTGCACACATCTAATACATGGATACAAATGCAAACAAAATACCAATATACACAAAAATAGATTTAAGGCTGGAGAAAGGGCTCAGTGGTTAGGAGGACTGCTCTTCCAGAGCACCCAAGTTCAATTCCCAGCACCCGTCTGGTAGCTAACAACTGTCTATGATCTGACACCCTCACACAGACATACATGCTGGCAAAATACCAATGCACATGAAAATAAAACAGATTTAGAAGCTGGGTGTAGTGGCACACACCTGTAATCCCAGTGCTCGAGAGGCAGAGGCAGGTGGATCTCTGTGAGTTTGAGGTCAGCCTGTACAACAGAGTGAATTCTAAGACAGCGAGGGCTACAAAGAAAAACCCTGTCTTGAAAAAAACAACAACAAATAATTATTTAAAAGAAGAAAAATTTAAAGTTTATTGTACCTCTAAGAACATTTTAAAAAGTTTCTGCTCGCCAGGCAGTGGTGGTGCACACCTTTAATTCCAGCACTTGGGAGGCAGAGGCAGGCAGATCTCTGCGAGTTCAAGGCCAGCCTGGTCTGCACAGTGGGTGCCATGATTGCCACAAAAAAAAAAAAAAAAAAACAAAAAAAACCTAAATAAGTAAAAGCATCTATTATACTTATCAGGGGAATGGTGGTGTATATATAGAATCCAGCACTTGGGGAGTTCATACAGGATGATTGTGAAGTTAAGGCCTGCCAGGGTGACATAGCTAGATTCTGTCTCAAAACAAAACATCCTATAATGTCATGTAGAATAGAATTTTACTCATAATAAAACAGTGTAAGGTTTAAGATGGGGAAGTATTTGCACATGCCTGTAAACTGTCTTCATTGTGGTGATCGAATCCAGGAACTTGTATCTGCTGAACACACACTCTTCCAGTTAGCCACACTGTAGCATGAGGTATGTTTTATGTAGTTGCCATATGTCTATGCAGGTAATGTTTCAAGACACTCCTTTTGTGTTCCATTTTATTTTTATATGTTTGTCTGTGTGTATGAGTGCACACATGTGCCATGTGTGTGGGTACCTAATAGAGGCCAAAAGAGGATGTCTGATCCTCCAGGCTAGAGTTACAGGCAGTTGTGAGCCATCTGGTATGGATGCTCAAATCTGAACTCAGGTCCTCTAGAAGAGCAGCAAAGACTCTTATGTGCTCAGCCATCTCTCCAGCTCCTTTTACATTTCTTTATTAATCACATGGATTACTTGTTTCAGACTGTCTCATTATAGAACAGTAGCCCCCAACAACAAAAGACCAATGAACAAACACAAAAGGTAGAATGCTAGCCTCCATAAACCCTTCATTTCCACTAGCAGAAACCACTGTTGCTATGATACAGTAGTTCCCACAGCCTGGCCAAGGGTGTGATGGGACTTTGCAACAGTGGACCACAGTTATCTACATCTTCACACCAGCAGCAGTGTAGTGGTCATGGGAACACCCCTACTTTATTACTGCACATGCTGCTCACCTTTCATATATATGTATTCAAATGCCACACTTTCCTTTCTAATCCTTCCATTTTCATCTTCTTTTTCCTCAACTCATGTGAAGGCTAATCCACACTGGGTAGGGGCAGGGGGTACCTGGAGAGAATGGATTTGGCTTTGATGTTTCTAGGAAGATGGGACGATAACTGGGCTTCTCATTACCTTCTCTTATAATACAAAGGTATTGGCATACAAGGCCATGACAGTTTTAAGTTCCCTCTTCATCTCTTTCACTGAGACAAGACCTCACTATGTAGTCCTGGATGGCTTGGAACTTATTATGTTCAGCAGACTGGATTTGAACCCAGAGGTCCCACCTGTCTTGGGGTACACCACGCCCTGCCTTCTTTCTTGAGACAGGGTCTCAAATGGATTTGACACATGTTTGAACAGGACTGCCTATCAATCATTTACAATCAGTGCCTTAGCTTTCTGAGCCCTATGACCAGTGTTAACTTGGGAATCAGGCAAGAAGGTGAATCTGATTTGTGTTTTTTCTCTTTTCTGGGTGGCAATTCATTCGCTTGGTTTGTACCTTGAAAATGGCCAACACAAAGCACGCTGTTTATCTTCTACTTATAATTCAGAAAACACCTGTTCCCAAGAGGTAAGATAGGTCCACACCAAACTCCAGCAGCTATGAGGGAAGGAGGGGAAATCCTAGGCATGAGATCCCACAGAAAGCCAGTGTGTCACAATGATACTAAGAGTGAGTCTCAGCTCTGCACTCAGAAGTCATGTGACTTTATGGGCTCACATCTGGAACTACACATGAAACGTACATAGCCAGCAAACATATAATGTGCCAGCACACGGCACATAGTGAGCACTAGCTGGATACCAGCTGATCTTGTCACCAGAGGACTCTAATCATGGAGGCAAACTCAGAAGAGGAGAAATGGTCCACCAGAGCAACATGCCCCACAGGGCAGCAGTCTTCCTGGCTATGGGTCAATGTGAGCTGTTCTTGTGTTAGCTCTGGAGAGTCTAAACCCACACAACATCACACTCTGGCCTCTGGAAGCCACACTGCAATGTCATGGCTAAAAGTTAGATGTTCATTACCTGGTTGCTTTTGTCGGGGTTTCGGCAAGTTTGTCACACATGTATGTGGGCACATGAGGATATTACACGGGTGTAGAGATCCCTCAAGAAAGAGCTGTTTCGTCTGAGATATATGGATCCCTCCTAGTGGAGTTTTTGGTAATGTGTTGGCAGGCACCAGAGCAAGACAGTAAACGCCTACTTGATGGATGCTATCGATTGCCTGGAAAAACATAAAGAAAAATGTTCAGGGAAATTACTTTGATGACATTTGATATATCCCGAAAAAGCCCACTATTTTACGGCAGGATGTTTTTCTATCCATCCAAGGATGTATGCTTGTCCAAAAGAAGGGGACTCAACAGGTAAGCTCTTTATGTTGTCCTCTTACCACATTAGGAACTCTACAGTCAGTTCTGATGAGAACTAACTTGATGAATGTCAAATAAAGTTAGAGAATTGGGAAAAGAAAAAAGATCTCCTATGTGGGTGAGCCATCTCTCCAGGCCTTACTATTGTTTCTTTGTGACAGGGTTTTACTATGTAGTTCACAGTGATGATTTTGAACTCTAAATTCTCCAACCTCTGCCTTCCAAGAGCTGGGATTACAGCATGTACTGCCACTCCTGACTAAAATGAATCCTTTTATGACTGCCCCCTTAGCTACTTTTCAGATAAACAGGTATCAGACCATTCCTACTGTCTTTATATATTTTCAGCCTAGTTTATATTCATTTATGTCCTCTGATTTTTGTTTTTTTGAGAAAGGGTCACTTTATGTCCTAGAACTCAACTCACAGAGATCTGCCTGTTTCTGCCTCCACAGTGCTGGGATAAAAGGCATGAGCCACCATACCTAGTTCTTTTTCTTTCTTTCATTTTTTTGGGGTGGGTTCTTTTGTTTGTTTTCTCTGCGTAACATTCCTGGTTGTTCTGAAATCTTGTAGACCAGGTTGGCCTCAAACTCACAGAGATCCACCTGCCTCTGCCTTCTGAGTGCAGGGATTAGAGGTGTGCACCACCATACCTGGCTTAAATGTTATTTTTAGACAGCATATCTGGTAGCCACAGATCCAGGGCTCACCTGCAGCACACGGCTCATCCACTGGAAGCTATCCTCCTCAGACGCATCGGGTCTTTGCTCCGCCACCACCACAATGCGCTCGTCATAAAATACAGACACAGAAAACACAGCAATTCTAAGAGAGACAGATCAAACACATCAGTCTCCCTTCAAAACCATGCTACTTGCTTTCTTGAGTTGGAATCAAAGAGGTGCCATCCCGACATACCACCCAGACATGAACAATAGAGAGAAAATGTGTGATTATCACCAAACCAGGATCAAGTGATTCACTTAAAACAAAAACAACATGGATTAAGTACCACAGAATGGTAAACAAGACATAGCTCCTGTCTTTGTGGTGCTTATGTGTCAGAGACAGAACCAAGCAACACATAGATAATGAAGCCACATTGTGATGTGCACCAGGAAGTGCCTTGGGCAGGGCCAGCCAAGTGGGGTGCCCAGCGGAGTGGGATGGGGTGCTTGGAGGAGCGCCTCCCTGGGGAGTGGACACTGGAGCAGAGACCTGAATGAGGTGAGGACACGAGCCACGCGAAGATCTGGAGGAAGAGGATTCCGGGCAGAAGGAACGGAAAGCGGAAAGGTTCTGAGGTAGGGACGAGCTTGGCAGGTTTGAGGAACAGCAAGAAGGCCAGTGTGCCTGGAGCAGAGTGGTGAAGCAGAGAGTGAAGCGAAAGTCAGACACAGGCAAGGGAGACTGAGGGAGACCGAGGCCAGAGAGGAAAGGAGGATGGAGTTGGATCTAAGGGAGGTCTCCGCTCAAATGTCCCCTTACTAGTGAGGCGTTCCCATACCAGACCACCTCAGGTGTTCACTCCACGGCACTCACGACCCTTTCGTGTGTCATCTGTGTTGCCATGTGTCTGGTTCTTGTGTTTGTCATGAGAATGTGAGGGTAAACACACAACCTGTGTCATTCACTGTCAAAGAACCTGGAAAAGCAGTGTGTAATTGGCACCCAGTGAGTACTTGTTGAATGAATGCAGGAAGAATGTGAAGTGACTGGAGAACCAAGGATGCTGGATGGCCTGCCCACTCCCTCCCACCCACAGAAGTTATGGAATATTAACTATGTTCTAGGAACTGTGCTGTGCACGGGGGGACACAACTGTGGCCATAGACAGTGGGTCTAGGACCCAGAAGTTCCATTCCTAAGAACTATGCTGTTACAGAAAAACCACACAATTCAGGAACTGGTTCTTTTGTGATGTCTTCCAATTTTCTTCTTGCGTAATTCAGGTCAGGATAGGAGGGATAAGGAGGCATTTGCTCCAAAGATAATCCTACCAGACACCTGCCTGAGATTGTGAATGGCTGGAATACCTCTTTCTGCATTAGTAAGCAAGAGAAAAGGCCTGACTTTGTCCACAGGACCTGAACTTCTAAACACTAAGCTCACCTGTCAATCTCCACAGAGAAAACACAACTGAGTTAGAAACGGGAGGAGAAATTCTTAGCTGTGCTCTTATACAGAGTGGTGCCTTACTACACTAACTGGACAGCACCATCTTGGCAATGAGGAACTATAGAAGGTGGGATGATTTATTTATCTTCAGTTCTTCTCAGTCTTCAGAACTCAAGGAAGAGTAACAGACTCACTCCTCTCAGTCACCCAGTGCCAAACACTGTATGTAGGACGTATATTTAGCCAGGTTTCTGTTATTTTAACCCAAGCTGGCCTACTAATGTGAGAGAAGGAGCTACAGAGCACATCTCAGATCACCCAAGTGGTGACACTCAGCACTCACCTCCCTCGATAGACAGTCTTGATGGACTCCACTGCCAGTCCTGTAGCGACAATGTCATCAGCGTTGTGTCTCCGACCACTAACCATAAGTAATCCATCCATTTTTCCAACCACGAACACCAAGCTACCCTGAAAGTTAATGATGATCTACCTTCATTTCCATGTAAGACAGACACATCACACTTCCTGCTTTGAAATAAGTCAGTCTCTGTCTGTCTGTCTGTCTGTCTGTCTCTCTCTCTCTCTTTCACACACACACACACACACACACAAACATACACAAAGCTAAGAAAGACACCTATAAAGCGTCAAAAAAACTGTGCATTTATATAAAAGAAAACAATTATCATAGTTTATGTTTTGTTTTTCTAACTTTTTTTATTTTTGTCAAGAAAGGATCTCACTGTGTGGCCCTGGCTGTCCTGGAACTCACTCTATAGATAGATCAGGCTGGCCATGAATTTACAGAGATCCACCTGTCTCTGCCTTCTGAGTGCTAGGATCAAAGGCATATGCCACCACTGCCCAGCTTGGATTTCTTTCTTTCTTTCTTTGTTTCTTTGTTTCTTTCTTTCTTTCTTTCTTTCTTTCTTTCTTTCTTTCTTTCTTCCTTCCTTCCTTCCTTCCTTTCTTTCTTTTTTAAAAGAAATCATCTGAAATTAGTGAGAAAGTGGCATTTTTAGAACCAAAATAATGCATTAGTGACCTCGTGTGTAAATGTGTGGGTGGGCAAAGGCATGGCACTGAATGCGTATGGAGTCACAGGAGAGCTCCAAGGAGCCAGTTCCCCCTCTACCATGTGGGTCCTAGGGACTAAACTCAGCTCATCAGGTATGGCTGAGCCACTAGCCAGCACCCACTGAGGCCTTACAGTCTGTAAAACATTAATTCATAATTCATTCATATTCTTAGGGGGACATTTCACAAGGAAGAAACTACAACCACATATCTTTTACTTTCCCGGTCATGGGTATGTGTTAGTTCATGTTAATTCATTTACTAATGGAATGAGAGGGAAGTCAAACAGTTTTAATATGTAAATAGTTGCTTTAAGCATGTAAGAGTAACACTGTTTCCATTAGGCAAAAGCAGAAATAGAGAAAAGGGTCTAAGAATGCTGCCTATTTCTTCCCAGAAGGACAGCAGGGCAGTAGGCCACTGGGACCACCGCCCCAAAAAGCATCACGGTGTGAGCACTCCACAGACAAGTCCCACGCCTTGGCCTACTTACATGTACTCAATGAGCCAGCAGTTATCTCCATGTGAATGTCACTCATTAACTTTCTGAGCACAGTGTAGTGCCACACAGTGCCTGGGCTAGGACAGAAAGGCAGAATCTCTATGCACAGGAAGCTACTGGCCCACCCACAATGCCAGAGCAAGCCAGCCACTTTCAACTGTGTCAAGAGCTGGTATCAGTGTGAGAAGAGAAGCTAGAGATGTGGCTCAGTGGTTGGGGGATGTACTGGTCTTAAAGAGGACCTGAGTGTGGTTTCCAGCATCCATGTCATATGGCTCACAACTCTTGTAACTTCAACTGCAGAGCATCCAACTCCTCTGTGCATGTATACACACATATAATTAAAATAAAACAATCTTAAAGAAAAAGAGAGAAGCCTGCTTCTTCAAATCCTTCACAGTGACACTGTTCAGCTGGCACAGCCTTTCCAGCTTCGTCTTTCTTGTAGCTAGGTAGGACCATGGAACTAATTTGGACCAGACATAACCAGATTACACTGGGTTTAGGGGGTTTTCCTAAGAGCAAGGATACACATGGAGCTGAGGCTCCATTCCAGACCCCAACAGTAGAGCAGTAAGATGAAGAGTTGGGCATCTGAAATTGTTCTAGTGGTGGCAAGAGGTCAAGACCGCTGAAGGTGAAGCAAAGGTCAATCAATTCACATGAGCTGAGCAGTGGAGAACAGCAGATGGGGTAGGAAGAAGCCAGCGACAGATGAGTTTACAGAATAGGGACCACCCTTCACTTCCCATGGCCTGGCCCTCTGCCATCCTCTTGGATTCCTCAAGAAAACCATGTCCCCTTTGAGAGCAGGCTTCTTGGATCCTAGTCGTTTCTACAGCTGTAGATACCATGGGCCAAGTAACAACTCCCAAGTGCTGGGACTAAAGGTGTGTGCGCAGCTGCCAGGCTCCTATGACATTCTTACATAATCTTCTAAATAGAACTTAAGTGCCTGGTGTGGTGGTGTACACTCTTAATTCCAGCACTCCGGAGGCAGAGGCAGGGTCTCTGGGAGGTCAGGAAAGCCAGAAAGACTATATAGTGAGACACTGTCTGAAGACAGGAAAAGGAGGAGGAATTGTGATTGTTGGTAAAAGGCACTGTGACACCTTCAATTTACTCAGAATTTGTTCAGTTCTGTGAATTAAAGTTCAAATGTTTAGAACATATGTAGCAAAAACTACATGAAACCAACACTTACTGGCCCTACAAAGCCCAGCAGCCCTGACCGGATGAAGGGCACGTCTCCCACAGGAGAGCCTGAAGAACCCACAGGAATCACCTAAAAGACAAAACGGAAAGGTTAAAAGCTTTCTAAAGTCTTACTTAAAAGAAAAACTAAAAGTAATATATGCTCATTGAACAGGGTGTCATTAGCACACGCCCTTAGTCCCCAGCAATCAGGTGAAGAGGTGGGCAGATCTCTGAGTGATCTCCAGGCTGGCCAAGGCTGCATAGTGAGACCCTATCTTTAAAAAACAAACAACACCCCAAATGTGTGTGTATGTGTATATGTGGGTGTAATATGCTTAGTGGAAGCCATATTCTGCAACAAACCCAGGAATCTCAACCATCTCAGTGTTTGTTGTTTATCTCTCTAGACTTTGAGAAAGATCATATATATACATACTTAAATGTTTTATTACGTCTATTTTTTTTAATTTTATACACATAGCCATGTGTCACCGCACACATATGTAGGTCAGAGGACAACTGTAGGAGTCAAGTCTCTCTTTTCACCATGTGGACTGTGGGCATAACATATTAGGCAGCATGTGAAATGCCCTTAGTAACTGGCCCATCTCATGGGCCCGAGATACATAGATTGACATAACTGAGTGTGTTAAAACAGGCGCCATGGTGGGGAGACAGCTCAGTGAGTATGAGTAAAGTACATTCTGTGCAAACATGAGGGCCACAGTTCTGATCCCAGCACCCTTGGAGAAAGCTGCAGGAGAGTGCAAACAGCAGAAGTTCCAGTGGTTTCCTAGCCTAAAAACTAAATGACAAACATAAACAAGATGGAGCAGGACAGAGGAAGATGCCCCACATGAACTGTTTCACACGCACACGTACATATACAGAGCACATGAACACACATAAGCACACGTGGGTATGCACACAAAGGCATATATCACATATACATACAAATGTAAAAGAAAGTATTAAAAAATAAAAAGGATATATACCTATATATATATATTACTAACACCTTTCACAGTCTATCTTGGATAGCTTTCCTGTCAGGTAGTAACTGATCTAGCCCATGCTGTAGGACAGTTGTATAACAGCATTTCATAGGGATAGGACAGCAAACCCTTGAAAGTCAGTTTACTGATAATGTAGACTTTGGTCAAGTTGAGATGTCTCTGAACCTCAAGTTCTTCTCAGCTGTGGAAGAATGCTCTCAGATCCTCTTCTGAGCTCATGTAAAGATAAAGCAGTGCACACAGATTTGGTTAGAGTGCAGTCTGCCTGCACAGGAGATCTGATACCTCACTAAGTCAAATAGCTTTCATGGGCTGGGGATGCATCTCAGCAGTACCACCCTTGGCTAGTACTGCAAGCACCACTAAAGAAGTGTAAGAATTCTAGGCATGCAGTTTCCTGTATTATCTTCAAATACTGCTTGAAGGCCTGGAAGATGGCTCAGTATGTGAAAGTACTTTCCCTGAAAGCCTAATGACCTGAGTTCAGTCTCTGTACCCTATATAATGAGCCAGATGCAGACTCACACATCCACAATCCAGCCCTGCTACAGGAAGGGAGGAAACAGACAGGACCACAAAGTCCATCCAGTGGCCAGCTAGCCTGAAACACACACTGCAGCAAGAACAAGAGAGGCCCTGCTTAACAGAATAGGAGTAGGGGCTGGACAGATGGCTCAGTGGTTCATCTTCCAGAGGACCTGGGTTTGACTCCCACCACCTACATGGTGGCTCACAACACTCTCTAACTCCAGTCCTAGTCTAGTTCCAGCTACCTCTTCTGGCATCCAAGGGCACCAAACATGCACCTGGCACCTGCACATACATGCAAACAAAACACCTTCAATTTTTTAAATTGAAACAAAATGGAAGGAGCTACACATGTGCAGCTGTAGCAATTTCTTACCCCTTCTCTCTCCCCCCCTTTCCTTTCTCCCCTGCATGTCTCTCCTTTCACACACACATACACACATACTCTCTCTCTAATACAATTCTGCTTGAAGCTAGGTGTGGTGATTTATGCCAATAACACAATCTTCTCAAGAGACTTAAACATGAGGATGATAAATCTGAGGCTTGTCAGAATACTCAGTGATATACAACCTCAAATAGCAAGGATCTTATTCTCAGTAAGAAAGATTCCAGGACAAGCATTACAAGCACTGAAGATACATATAGTCCAAGCACTTAAAAATAATATGGGGCCACCAAGAGATTGAGTGGTTGTAGCACTTTGCTACCATGTCTGATGACCTGAGTCCAATCCCCAGAACCCACAAAGTAGAAGAGAACACACACCTACAAGCTGTCCTCTGACTTCCACATGTATAAGACTGTGCACACAGAGACACATACACACATACACATAACAAACAAATAAAGGTTCTTATTTTTTAAATCTCTTTAGGAAAAGAAACTGGGTATGGTGGTTCACTCTTATAGTCCCATCAACTCAGAAGGCTGAGGCAGGAGGATTATCAAGAGTTTGGGGGCAATCTGGGCTACAGTTTTTGTTGCTGCTGTTGTTTTTTTCCTGGTTTTTCGAGACAGGGTTTCTCTGTACTGCTTTGAAGCCTGTCTAGACTTTGAAGCCAGGCTAGACTTAAACTCATAGAGATCCACCTGCCTCTGCCTCCCAAGTGCTGGGATTAAAGGCATGCGCCACCAATGCCCAGCCTAAAAACAAATTTTAAAGAAGGCAAAACAGGGACCGAGAAGGCAATTCAGTAGTAGAGTGTGTGTTTAGCATGCACAAGAACTTGTGCTGAATGTCCAGCATAGTAAGAAGAGGGAAGAATGAATAAAAAGACTTAGGACAATAAAATGTACATATACTTAAACCAGACAGTGAGTCAACCAAAAGAACAGTGTTGAGCATACACCTGGGGAATCTACAAGCTTCCACTCCTGCAAAATGAATGGAAACAACCTCTGATGGCACAGAAATGATGGTGGCAATGACAGTAACAGGTTTATATTACGCTGTTTCAGGCATGTAAACAGAGATGACAGCAGCACTGTTATTGGTCCCCTTCAGGTAGCACATGACAGATGACACAGATGCACTGCCACACAGAAAGGATATGCACCTATTTCCAAACAGAGTGATTGAAATGCAGCTTCTGATGTTTGCAGACTTACTCTACACTGTCCTACCATTTTGAGAATCCTGAGCAGAGTTCTGTTACTGCAAAAGCAATTCAAAGAGCTGAAAGTCAGCAGTATAAAGGAGCCACAATCCATCCACAGAATTTCTCTGGTCCCTAAAATGTATCCCGGACAATTAACCACCCATTCTAATGTGCAGGCTTACCAGGGTAACTTCTTATTACAACTTAGCTTTGCAAGCAGAGTGACTACAGGAAGGCCATGCACCATCTCCTTAGAAAATGTTGCTTCCTCTATAATACAAGCTTTACCAGCAGCCTCACTTGTCCTGAAAGAGTCTTAGCAGACTCTTAGCAGAACAGAGCAGGAACAGAGAGGAATGAGTGAGCACCTGCTTGAGGAGTAATCTGACCTCAGCAGAAGGTTAAGTCTTTTTGTATATGTACATGTGCACATGCATGTGAACAAATGTGTGCGAAGAGCAAAGTCGATGTTGGGTGTTTTCTTGCCAAATCTGCTAGTCTGACTGAGCAGCTTCCTTAGGGATCAGGGCAGCTGTCATGAACGCCTGGCCTCTGGGGATCTCAACTCAGGCATTCATGCCTCCGTGGCAGGTGCTTTACTATCTCCCAGGCCCATGTCTATATCAATGACCTGAGCAGCAAGTACAATTGTCACAGCACTCTCAAAGGCAAAATGTTGAACTTACAATGCTCTAACAATGGCAAATCTGCTGGAGTAAATCTTTGTGAGACCTCATTCCCTTTAATATCCAACAGGCACACCACATCACTTCCTATGTGCCAGAACCTAACCCAATCCACGTGTAAATGTTCATTAATTTTAGTGTTCAGAGCAGCCCACAAGAAAGCACTGTTACTATTCACATTTTGTTCTGCTTTAGTGTTTTCTGAGACAAAGTCCTGTTATGCAGCCCAGGCTGACCGTGAACTCACAGTCCCCTGACTCAGGCTCCCAAATGCTATGACTGCAACAGCAGCCACCATGCCTGGCTATCAGTCATATCATAAAATAAAGGAATTGGGCACTCAGTAAAGCTAGGTGGCTCACAAAGCACCTGGTGAATGCTGGAGTAGAATGTGGTCTTAGGCACTGGATTCCTAAAGACTTGATATCAACCACTAAGCTATGCTGTGCCATCAGCCAGTATGTCTCCCTAGTAACATCTGACCTCACCAAACATCTCCCTATGAAATAACATCATGTACCTCAAATGTATTTTTGGTCACGCCAGCAAGTCCAAAGTACATCATCCCTCCAGTCCTGGAACTAACACAGATTTCTCCAATCTCATCTGTCTTGCAGAGCTGAGGAAGTCCATCTGGTTTCACAATGCACATCATGCCTAGTGCACAGAAAAAGTGACAGAGTCTAGAAAACGGCAATGTAACAACTTTGTTTTCAAACCCAGAGGAGTTGCACACTGGGAAGTAGCATTAAGAACAGCCAACAGAAGTGCCACAGAGAGCCTGTGAAGTCTATCCCACACCTACAGCTCTTAGACACGGACACACTGCAGAAGGACGGCAACAGCCTCCCTCATGATGAAGTGGAGGCTGATCTTACACAGGGCCATGCAGTACCCACAACAGCAGCATACAACTTCCTGGGTTGGCAACTGCGGAGAGAACAGTGACTAACATCCCTTTCCACATGAAGAGCATCATTATGCAAGCCTCTGAGACTGATAACCCAGACGGCCAGGGCCAGCTTAATAACACCCACTCAACCATCGGAGTGGCTTGCTGAAATGATGTGACTGAGCAAAGAAACTGCGGTTTCCAGATTTGGCCCTCTTGCTCATTAGCCCTTCTGTCTCTCCTTTCATTTCCCCATCTCTTTAGCTGGGACTGGGGATGGAATCCAGGGCTCTGGGCATACCAGGCAAGCCTTCCACCACCAAACTTCCTCCCCAGCACAGCACCACTATTTCTGATGACAAATCTTAGGAAATTCCAGTGACACCCCTTACAACTTACCCCCAGGCATCACATGTCCCACATCCTGGACTGTCAGTGCTGAGTTTTTATCTTCTGTATTGACCCGTATTACCCCATAGCTCAATCCATTCATTGAGAGAATGGCTCTTCCTGGCAAGGGAGCCCCTGGAACCCCAGGCCTAAAATGTGAAAAAAGAAAAGAAAGAAAGAAAGAAAGAAAACAAAACCAAAAACATCAAGCCAGGTCTATACAAACACACATGCATATAAACAAACAAGTAAATAGAAAACACATGAGGGGTTGACGAGATAGTTCAGTGGTTAAGGGCTCTTGCCATGAAAGTTTAATGACCTGAGTTTGATCCCCAAGTTCAGAAGGAGAAAATTAACTCCTCTAAGTTGTCCTCTGACCTCCACACACCTGCTGTAGTACAGGTGCACAAACATATACAAACACACGCTGGGAATTGAACCCAGGTCCCCTGGAGGAGCGGACAGTGCTCTTAACCACTGAGCTATCTCTCTAGCCCCAACTTGTAGGTTTATGAAGAATTTAAAACTCCTTTTTCATCACCAGGAAAAAACTGTACATCTCATCCAGGCCATGATAGCCATCAAGAAAAGCCAACACTAGGAACAGTACCTGCGGATGGCAACAGTCATGGCTTCAGCAGATGTGGCACATGGACAGATGGCCTCAGGTTTCAATCCATGGCTTTGGAACAGGCTCAGGAAGGCATCACAGGATGACACAGACCCTACGGAGTTGGAACAGATCAACTTGAAAACTGAGATAACCATTTTTCTTATTGTAGGAAACTAATGTGGGCGTGTGTGACATATTTGTGGGTCAGAACTCACACTGCACATCAGTCATTTTTTTGTAACAGTTTACTGTACCTTTGAGAAGGCCTGACACAAGCTCATCCAACTCATGAAAGGTCCTGACAGTACCTACAGTTACAACCTGGAAAGGCTACACCTACCAAGGGGACAGAACAAACTCAGAAGCAACACTGTAGGTAATATGCAGCCAGGTGGAACTCTAGCAGCTCTCCTGAAATAACAACCATAGCCAGGGCAATGCAGCCATGGTAGCCCCACCTGCTCTCAGTGGCGTTCTCTGACTCTTGCTTCATAAGTTCTCCATGTGTGTTTTAAAGCAGAATGTAAGGTCACTTAGGAGAAAGAGCACACAGCTTCCAAAGCTCCAGACTCCCCTGAGTGGAGGACCAGCACTTCTGTGCTTATCCAGAAAAGCAAACAGCACAGTAAGATCTCTACAAGTTTATTGCAAATTCCCTTTATTTGTGATTGGAAGAAATATATATATATATATATATATATATATATATATATAAATCAAGCCATGTTCAAACATCTCCTTGCACCTAAGAGCCTCACGTGGAGGATTTACATGAGTAAGGCATGGTTTCAAATAGCTTCTCAGTCCACCAAGAGATGAATGGATAAACAAACATGGTGTGTCTATGATAGACTACGTGTATATCACTAAACATAACAAGACTGCTTCATACCACGTATCAGAGCTGACCTGATCTACAGAAAGAATGAAGAGGGGCGAGAGAGAAAACAAGCAGCTGAAGAGCGCTTGCTTATTCTTCCACAGGACCCAAGTTCTGTTGCCAGCCCCAATGTCCAGCAGCTCACAACCAACTATAGTTCTAGAGGGTCAGAAACCCTCTTCTAGGCTCTGAGGGAACCTGCACACATGTGGCATATGATCACACAGACACACAAACATACACATACATTTGTTAAATCTTTTCTTTTTTTCCTTAGAGGAAGGAAAGTTATGATTGTCTGGGGCTGAGGAACACTGCAGAGGATGAAGAGTGACAAATAGGGAGAGTGTGATTTCTCTTAGGTTAATGGAAATGTTCAAAGCTTCAGTTGTGGTGATAGGTACATACCTATAAACATATCATACCACTGACTCAGACCCTTGTAACAGACAAGTGTCACTTGTAAATGACATTTCAATATGGATGTTGGAAACAGAAAAGCTCAGAAAAAAATGAGCAAAACACCCTGCCTATCACATGTTCTGGGATTTCTACACCCAGTTACTCACAAGGATTGGCGCCATCAGTGACAATCAGCATCCGGAGAGAACTCAGGCTCACATCCCTTTGGTCCCGATGTGCCATCATGGCCCAGTGTAAATCTCGACACTTTACAAGAGCTACTTTGGCTACAAATGCAAAGGGGAAAGAGTTGGGACATATACACATCTTTAATTTGGGCATACATTTAATATTACCATAAGAACATTTTCACTTATTTTTTAGCAATAGTTCTCACTTGGGGTAAGCAAGTGCCATATTCAGGTCACAGTCAAGGAAACACTGACAACACAGCATTCAATAGAGCTAACTATGACTCAAACTCCAGAGAATTCAATTTGCAAGAAAGAACACAGTGAGATAAGGCAAACAGCTTACCTACAATAACAACTCCAAAATTAGGAAAGCCACAAAGGCAAAGAACGGTTTCTCTACAGGGGCATGCCTCCACCAATCTCATAATGAATATGTGGATGTGTCTGATTACCTTTGTGGGCATGGACCCTTTGGACCCAAGAGAGAGGACAGGTCTTCATAACAGAGTAGGGTACACTAATTGTATGCATCTTATTCATTACATTCTGGAAGCAGAGAAACATACAAAGTAGTCAATACAAAGCAAATATTTAGCACCTTGAAGCTGTATTGATATTCTGCTAACAATGTCAGAGAGGTATTACTCAAGTTCACCCTTTCAAAACAAATACTTAAGATGCCAGCATGAGTGCTGAAGCACCTCCAAGAGCTGCTCTAAGCCTGGTGCTCTCCTTTCTCTCCCAGGGCATCACAGAGATGATACCTGTCCCTCCAATCCCACGCATGGATGGACGGACACACACACGGACACACACACACACACACACACTTTAGGAACACAAAGGATATAAATGAAGCACATGATAGTATACACGAACTATCACTTGCTGCTTTTCACTTCCATTGTTTCAAAGATAAATCTATGCATGTTAGAACCAGAGGGTTATCTAGCTCTCTTTATGGCTGTACATGTCATAATCAGTGTGGAAGCAATGCATTTGTACTCACATCCACTAACATGTACACAAGTGTTTCCTTTGGGTAGATATAGAAGAGAAGCTCTGCTGGGTCACAAAGTCCCTGCTTTTAGAGTGTTAGCGGGTACTACTAAATGGCTCCCCAACCCACTTAGTGCTCCATGGTGCTCCTGCTTGCCACATTCTACAGGGAAGGGAAGGGAACGAAAATGGGACAGCACTACAGAGCAAAAGGTTAGCTTCCTAGTTCCCTACAGGCTAAGTGTTTGTAAAGATAAAGCTGAGAGAATTGAGGGCCAGGCAGTTTGTTACCCCTCCTGCCATCCATGTATCAAGAATATGGGTGATCCCTTAGAGCTAGGTGTTCAGAAGCTGCCTGATATGGGTGTTGGGAACAGAAATTGGGTTCACAGGAAGAGCAGTTACATGGTCCTATTGAGCTAAACCATCTTTCCCTCTCTATACTTTTCTTTCCACCTACATGGCATGTTATAGTACATAGTTTTCCCAAAGAAATATGCCCTTTCCAACTCTACCCACCAAAATTCTCTACCTACATAAACTTAGCTATTTCTAAAATCCAACTTGGCTGTCATCTCCTGGTGGAAACTCCTGGACTAGTGGAGGAGTAAGAAGTCGTTCTTCTCTGACAGCCACAGTGCACTCCCAATACCTACTACAGGAAGCCCCCTCTTCCTTGTCACTATCTTCTGTGCTCAAAGCATGTAGTTTTGTCTTTTTCTCTAACTGTGTATACATAACATATGTCCATGGCTGTTGTGTGTGGCTGTGGACCTGTGTGCCATGGTGTGAGTGTTAATGACAGATGGCAACCTCGGGCATTGGTCCTTGCATTCAGCTTTAAGACAGGGTCTCTTTTATTTAATTTAAATTAATTTATCCCTCTCTCTTCCTCCTCTGGAATTACAGGTGGTCACAATCCACCTGACATAGGCACTAGCAACTGAATTCTGATCTTCTGCAAGAGCAACAGGTGCTCTTAAGCAGTAAGCCATCTCTCCAGTCCCAGGCAAGGTCTCTTGCTGTTCCCCAAAACTATGCCAGGCAAGCTGGGCACAGCTTCAGCAGACTCTTGTCTCTGCCTCCAACCCCACACTGGAATTACAAGTGGGCACTGTTGTACCTGGCTTCCCATGGACCCGGGGATCTAAAATCAGGTTCTCGTGCTTGCATGTCCTCTAGAAAATATTACTGATATTTTGGGAGCTTCAGGCACAAACTTCACTTGTCCCAGAGCCTCAGCTTCAGGCACATCTTACTACAAAGGCCCCGACTCTGGCAGCTTACCGCAAACATGCCATGCCACAGCCCAGCATCCTTCTTAAAGTCCAAAACATTTACTACAGCTTCTCCTAGAAAAGAAAAGATGAAGGGAAACAAGAGGAGGTCATGGTGAGCAGGAAATGACAATCACATTCATGCCCCCACCATGCATTTGGTGCTTTTAGAGAAACAATTGGGAGATCAGAGTCTCCGGTTGCTCAGACCCCTACAAACTGGCTGGAGAAGGTGACAGGGTGATGTGGTCACTGCAGAGACACTAAGGTCTTCAGCATTTAGGGACATCACTCAAGGAGTTTTTCCTATTGAAATAAGGAACATGTGTTTTTTTTTCGAAACTCTGGAATTTTCACAAATATATGTAAAAATTACACTTCTTTGAAAAACATGAAATAGTGTTCTATATAAAATCTTATGTATACAGATGCCCATTTCTAGGTATATCTACAACTAGATTATCAACAAAATAAAACAGATATACATAAGCCTGCTTCTAATTGTTTTCACTCAATGACAGATTTCTCCATATTTCTAATATTCAGGAGCTTGAGTTTCAGTGCCCCAGGGCAGAACTTCTGAATGAGCCCAGTGGAATTTAACTGGACATTGTTTGTGGCATTAATGATTGTTCTCAAATATGCACATGCACATATTTTATAATCAGACAAAAATGCTGCTCTGAAATGCACACCGTCACCTTTCGGTCTGTAAAGGGAAATAAAACATTGAAAAATTAATGTTAAAAAGGGCATCTTGGGGGCTGGAGAGATGGCTCAGAGGTTAAGAGCACTGACTATTCTTCCAGAGGTCCTGAGTTCAATTCCCAGCAACCACATGGTGGCTCACAACCATTTGTAATGAGATCTGGAGGTTCTTGCCTGCAGGCATATATGCAGGCAGAATGTTGTATTCATAATAAATAAATAAATCTTTTAAAAAAAGAACATCTATACATCTGGAGCCTGTGTCTGTGATGCTGGCACAAAGGGGCTTGGGTAGATAGAGGCAAGCTGAGTCTGTTATTATGCAATATACATTTATATACCAAAAGGTTTACACTTTTTTGGGTTGTTTGTTTTGGAGACAGGGTTTCATCTCATACTGTACCACAGGCTGGCCTAAAACTTACTATGTATCCCAGGCTAGCCTCCAAATGACACTGCTCCTGGTTTAGAATGCTTTCTGTTTTAATCTGTACCTTTGTTTACAACAGTATTTCTTGGACTGGAAATATTTAGTTGCAAGTTCTACATGAGGAGAGACAGACACACCAAAACCCCACAGCTTACAAACACATGGTGTTAACTGAGCTTTTCTATTTCTGTACTCTAGAAATCATACTTTATATGTTTAAATTTATTTAAGTTTATTTAAATTACAGTTTTTTTTTTCTTTTAAAGAAGGCAAAAAAGCAAGCCAAGAATGTGTCCTGGAACATTTCCCTCTGAATTTGGTCATTGAATGGAGTCCAATCACCAAGTGGGAGCTCACAGCCACACGAATCTGAAGCTAACAATGAGGGCAGTCACGGGATGAGGTCTGACCTTCAGAATAATTGCAGGCCTGTGACAGAGCTTGGCAGTGAGACAGCATTGCAAGCCGGGATACTGTAACTCCCATTACACTCCCTTCTTTGCTGGTTTTATACTAGAAAAATAAAACAAAATCAAAACTATAAGAAGCACAATAAGACGGGTTATTATAAATGACAAATTTCAGAGTCCAAACCTAAACCCAGATAAACAATACAATGGGCTTAATTTTACATGTTGAACAGGAATATTTAAGGCTCTGCACTTGGACCCCAACTCTAGACCAACAGAGCCAAGACTGGAGGACAATGAAGCCGACTGGAGCATCTGCAAAATGACTTCAAAGTTTAGTCGCTCATCAATGTGACCTGGTCATCAAAAAAAAGCCAAGTGACTTGAGCTGTAGAAACAGAAGCATATTGCCAAATATAGCCATTCCTCGGTAGCTGCTCAGTGGTGGAACATTCGCCTAACTGTGTGAGACACTGGCTTTGATCCCCTAGTACCACAGAAATGCTAACACCAAAGAGATGTGGGCCCTATTCACTCCTGCACATGGTTTCTTTGCTTTTATCACTAGTGTTCCATCCTTCCTTTCTAATGTCAGACCCAAAAAGTATTTTGCACAATTTACACACACAACAGATCTTTGCCCATCTGACTTCCTTAGCTTTTGTTTGCATCTCCTCATTGTGCTGACCATCTATGAGTTGTTTTTTCTCCCTCTCTGAGCAAGTTTTCACAACTAGCCTAGGCTTGCCTGAAACTTGTGGCACCACTCCTGCCTGTCCGAGGCAAGCATGCTACCAACACTCCACCCATTCCTCACCTCCACCCATGAAAACTCTTGTGTTTTCTTCCTTTCTTCACAATGAAGCCCTGGATGTCCTCAAACTCACTAGGTAGACCAGGAATCTGCTTTCCTCTACCAGGAAAGATGTATTTTTATTTTATGTGCATTGTTGTTTTACCTGCATGTGTATCTGTGTGAGGGTGCCAGATCCCCTACAACTGGGGTTACAGACAGTTGTGAGTTGCCATGTGAATGCTGGAAATTGAACCCTGGTCCTCCGGAAGAACAGCTAGTGATCTTAACCACTGAGCCATCTCTCCAGTTCAAAAGCACTTATTTGTTTGTTTGTTTGTTTGTTTTTAAAGCAGGTCAGGGCTGCAGAGATGGCTCATAAGTTAAAAGCACTGACTGCTCTTACAGAGGACCCAGTTTGGTTCCCAGCAACCACAGAGCAGTTCACAACTGTCTAGACTTCAGTTCTAGGAAATGTAAAGCTGTCTCCTGGCCTCTGTGGGAAGTGTGTACACATGATCCACTCATGGACACTCAGGCAAAACACTCATACACATAAAATTCAGAGGAAAAAAAAAACCCACCTCAAACCTAGTACTCCCTTTACAACTCAGCCAATCTAGATTTGTTTATGTGTTTGGTTTACAGGGAGTGCACGTACATGCCACAGCACATGTGTGGAGGTTGGTGGAGTTGGTTCTCTCCTTCTTCCTTTATGTGAGTTTTGTAGTCAAACTTATCAAGCTTGAGTGGCAAGTGCTTACCTGCTGAGCCATCCAGCTGGCCCTAGATAAATGTTTTTTTATATAATAAAGTCATTCTTATTCCCTCCTACTGACAACCCTTTACTAGTTTCTAACTCAGTAGTGGAATCCTGAGAGTTGTATGAGGCTCTCAAACAAGTGGATCCTAAGTTCCAGGGCCTGAGGTCAGGGGCTAAGGAGGGATGCATGATAAAGGGCCAACCTTAGCAGCAGTCCAGGATACCAGCAGCTCCAGTTTCCAGGAGGGGAGTGATACAACATATCTACCCAGAGAGGCAGGATAGAGAAGCCTCATTACTGAATGGGCTTTAGCTTACTCAATTGTCTTTCAGACATTCTCTGAGCTCTCCTTAGAAACAACACTCTTTGCAGTCAACAGTACGTCTACCCTCTTCTTCTGCGGCCAAAACCATTTCAGGTTTTACCTATACTTGTTATTACAAAAGATTTCAGGCCAGGCTGTGGTGGCACATGCCTTTAATCCCAGCACTCGGGAAGCAGAGGCAGGTGGATCTCTATGAGTTTGAAATTAGCCTGGTATACAGTGAGTTCTAGGACAGGCTCCAAAGCTACACAGAGAAACCCCGTCTTGAAAAAGCAAACAAAAGATTTCAGTACATAGTGCTCCCCAAGCCTTTTAAAAAGTTTCATGGATGTGTGCACTAATTAATTTAGCAAACGGCTGATGATTAAGTCTTAAGAGGCCACAGAGGTGAACGGTACAGTGTCATGGAATTTCAGTCACGTGACCTTTTGGCAGTGGACAAAGTTTGAAGGTCAGTCTCCTTGTCAATGGAGCAGATTTTTCTTTTTTTTTTTTTTTTTTACACTATTTATTTGCTGGAGGGACACCTATGTCATGATACACATGTGGGATTAGAGGAACTCGTGGGCATCAGTTCTCTCCTATCATTCAAATTCTGGGGCTAGAACTCAGGTCCCTTGGGCTTGGTGGCAGGCACCTTTACCTACTAAGCCATTTCCCCGACTCCATCGAGCAGGCTCACAAGTTGAAATCTAGTAATTTCTTGTTGCGCTCACAGATTAGTTAGTGCAACCCTCTTCAGAGAAGCCTCCTATTGCAGTACATGGTGATTAATGGAGATGTGACAGCTGGTCCAGGGGCAGAGTATGGGAGAGGCAGAGTACTCAGCCTAAATGGCACCTATCACAGCCCTCCTCCCAAGACTAGGGGTTCATTGCAGAAAGAGGGGGACAGAAGAGTGAGAAACAGAGTTAGTGGATGGTGATGTGGAGAGTGTTTTCTGAACACAGCAAGGCAGCCGCCCATATGAACTCACAGCAGTTATGACAGCGTGAACAAGAACTGCTCAAGCTCAAGCCAGACAAAATCTCAGCACGGAGAGGCAAGGTGGGCATCAAGCCCCACCACCAGCTCAGAAGCTACTGGCAACTGATGGTGCTGTGAAAGGGAGAGACAGTCTTCTTTAAGGTGTGCCCCCAACCCTCAAAGGTTGGCCACATTCCAATGGAAGGCCACACATCCAAGAGTATTTGGAGGTACTTTTTGAATTAAAAAAAAAAAAAAAAAAAGACACAAAGAGGGTACTTCTGGGAAGTCTGGGGCAATGATGAGTATGAATCAAATATACTGCACAGAACTGACAAGACTAATTTTATAATAAAAATAAATCACTAATAAAAATAAAAAAACGAGGGAAATAAACAAAAAATAAATTGAACAAGGAAGTTAAATCTTTCTGGGTTTTTACATGAATTAAATGAAGAAATGAATTTCAAGACTCCGGCCCTGAGGGCTGTGCAGACTGATTCGGTCTGAGTGCTGCTGTCAGCCAGTCCTGGTCCCACCTTCACGACCTTTCCTTTCTGTATGTTGAACTCACTGCTTCCCTTCACTCCTCCACTGCTTTGCCCCAACTCTGAGGACAGCAGCACAGTGCCTGTTCCGGTCAGCCACCTCTTCCATGGGTGCTTCTCCCAAGACTTCTGCAGGTTCCACTCCAGAAGACCCAGTTCCTTCTGACTGAGAGGTTAGAATGACAGCAACCAGCACAGGGGACACACCAGGCCCACACACTTGGTTGTGTCTTGTAGTGGGATATTCACTTTGTCTCCTTCTGTGGCACTGACTATGCCCATTGGGGGTGGAGCCAGGGGCGGAAGTGACCCGTGGAAGGAGGTCTGAGGAGGAGCCAGGGAAAGCTCTCTTGTTGCCGGTTGGGGAGAGGAGAGCATCGGGTGGAACTTGCTGGTGTTCATCTGTCTAGGTTGTAAGTTATTTCTCCCTGAATAAACATCTATTCGGCCTATTTGTTTATCCTGATCCTTATTTAACAGCAATAGAGACTTTACTGTCTTCCTGAGTAACTCTTTTCCTCTTGACCTTATGCCTCAAGTCTACATTAAAATCTCTTTTAATAAACTCCAACTCTGCCTCAAAAGTTAACAGTAGCAGAAAGCCCACTATAGGGTATTTATAAGGCTACAAAATGGAAGCTTCTTTCTTAGCATTCATTAACATGCACCTGAAACAAAAGGAAAGCCAAGAATATACACAAGCCTCCGGACTTACCTCGATGTATGCTGGTTCCGTACCAGCAGGTGAGATGTGGGGCTGCCAATCTTTGGGAGGTTTTGAAAGGTACTTGGAATCTGTTACAACCCACTTGAGCCGAGGCCAACCTAAATCAAACCCAGAGTGAAAATTGAGATGCCTAAGCCACTACTGAAGGACTTCACACTGAACTAGTCATCTTAAATGTCAGAAAATATTAAGATCATATCATCATCAATAAAATAATTAATTTTTATTGTAGCTTCTTTCAAAAGAATGTTCATTCCACATGATAAATACAGGCCGCCTTGATTGTCCTCAACAACAGGGAGATTCCTTTGTCAGTGGAAGACTGCAGAGCCCCATGCCCTCACTGTCCCCTGCTTTAATGTATACAGGGTAGCTAGCCTTTCCAGTCAGTAGCACAAAGGTTAAGAGTGTTGCTACAATCAGACAGACTGGATTCAAGTCACTGCTCTGCCATTTATTAGCTGGGGTTGGGGATTCTGTTTCACAATTTCCTACCTGAAAAATAGGCATAATTACTGTACCTATCTTGAATAAGTAAGAATTAAAAACAAACAAAGACACGTAAAGTCCTTAGCTGTTACTCTATTAAAATTCAAACTAACCAGGACTCAGGAGGCAGAGGAAGGTGGATTTCTGTGGGTTTGAGCACAGCTTGGGCTACACAGGGAAACCCTGTCTTCAAAAAAAGCGAAACAAAAGCAAAAGCAAAAATAAAAGCCTGAAGCACTCAGGTTTGAGTTTCAATCAGTAACCTGGGTCTGAGTAGTATTCACCTTTGAACTGTACAATTTCTCCATTCTGGGTTTTTGGCAGGCCCTTCAGACAAATTTCACTGGTGAGAGCTAAGGCAATCCCACAGCTTCCTAGCAAGAAGCCAATCTGCTGACCTCCGGCATCCTGTGAGAAAAAAATAATGAGCACAGTGAGGGTGTGAACGTGAGTGAGCATGAGTGAGCACAGTGGGGGTGTGAGCATGAGTGAACGAGACCACACCACGCTTAGCAACAGCACCCAGAGATGCTCTAGCACTTCCCACTGTGCTGCGGAGCCCAGACAGCTGGCATATGTCAAAGCTGGAGACAATTTCTTTGGGTTCCCTAAATACAACCAGACACTACTTTAACCTGACATTGCAAGCATGCCCTGTAAGCCAGTGTGACCTTCTCTGACTCACGAGGCAAGTGGAATCAATTCTAACACAGTTTTCTTCTCACAGTCCTACCCCCCCAGAACTAAGAGTAGCAGCTACCCATGCCAGAACAACATAAATAACACAGATAGGCTAGATATAAGAGCCCATATTTCCAGACAATTCCACCTAGTCTTTTTTGGGGGGGCATGGAGGGTTGAGAAAGGGTAATTACACCTAATCTTATGTTCTACTTTAAATGAAATAAGTTTCAACCTTAAACAGCAGCAAAAGCAATCAAAGGCAAAGTCTAAAGTATTTACACCTTTGAAGTATCATTAAGAAACTACACAAGTATTGTCACCTTAAGAGGAACCTTATGATTTTCTTCCTGAGTAATGAAAGGACTCTATCCATCAACTAAAACTTTAGCAATGTCACCTATCTGGGTCTTAATCACTTAAAAAACAATGTTGTCTTACAAATGAACATTCTATACCATATTGATCTCTAACATCAATTCTCAGTATAAACAGCATGAAACGGCCAGTGTGAAGACTCAGAAAAGCAATGGGCCTGAAATGGAAGTCTGTGCTGTCATTTTTACTATCAGGGCTGACACAGTCCCAACACAGCTCTCCATTCTGGAGCAATCACTTCCTCCAGTGCATCACCCCCCACTCAGCCACGCTGGGTTATTAAGTATATAGGGTGATGGGAACCGCTACACACTCAGATATAATCCTCCCGTGATTCTAAAACGATAACGTGACAGATGAGATACGTTACCTGCTGGACATTCATATCTACATAATTTTTGACAACTTTACTGTTTTTTGGAAAGTAAAGCTGAGTATTTAAAAATATGATCTGGGCTGGAGAGATGGCTCAGAGGTTAATAGAGCACTCTGACTGCTCTTCCAGAGGACTTGGGTTCAATTCCCAGCAACCACATGGTAGCTCACAACCAACAGTAATGAGATCTGGTGCCCTCTTCTGCAGGTGGAACACTGTAGACATAATAAATCAATAAATGAATCTTTAAAATATAAAAATATCATGTTGCTTCTTTTTTTCTTTCTTTCTCCTTTCTTCCTTCCTTCTTTCTTTACTGAAACAGTATCCCTCTGTGTCCAAGAGCTCATTCTGTAGACCAGTCACAGAGATCTACCTGCTTCTGCATCTCAAGTGCTGGGATTGAAGGCATGCACCACTATGCTCAGCAATCACATTGTTTCTAGTGTCACTAAGTAAGTGCAGTGCCTTCCTTATCACAGCAAAGGATATTTAACTCAGCAATGTTACCTTTCTGGTCAGTGGTACTTCTATGGGTACTGGAATCACTTCTGCCAGGAGACATCCATAAAAAGCCACCATAAACATGACTGGATCATTGTTGGGGTAAACCAAGGCAACCTAAAATTTCCAAAGACATTCAGCAACAGTGGAGTATGGACTGATTAACTCTACGAACACAGAACATTTTCCATGAACACAATAAGTCAAACAATTTAATAGTTACTTGTTCTGAAAGAAATTAAGTGACTAAGAAATACAAAAAGAGGAGCACTATCATCCCTACAGTTACACCCTCTATTCTGGGTTCAGGGATTTATCTCAGAAAGGATTTGCCTCCCACAAGGCCCCATTGCAAATCCCAGCAACACTAAAAAGCCAAAACCACAAAACTTACCCATTTTGACAACTAAAAATGCAATTCATTATCACTTAATCTTGGCTGTGATTCAATAGCAAACAGCTTGCCTATTATGTTAACTATTGAAAGCCTAAGGCAATTTACCTTAGTGCAGAGTTAATGGGATATATGTGGTGGACATCTCAAGACAGATAGCATTTATTAAAGCTGTGCATCACTCAGGCAGCGCCTTCAGTGAGCCCTTCACCCAGGGAGCCATTCCTCCAGCTCCTTAATCATTGGATTCCTGTTCCTTATATTCTTGCAATCAGATTCTTTAAGCTCACTCCAAAAGTTAGTCCAGTTTAAAACTTTAAACTGTCTTAGAGGTCTAAAAATGATTAATTCCACAGAAACATTTCATTACTGCTTACAAATTGCCATCTTGACACTTGGGCAGACACAACATTACCTGCTTAGGGTTCAGTGAGCCATGAGAAACCGTCACTATCAGTTTGTATAGTAAAAGCTACACTTTAAACATTTCTGGTACATTGTAAAAGCATTTTTAAAGAGTTACTTGAGGGTCCATAAGGTACCCTAAAAGTGTTTGCCACTAAGCCTGATGACCTAAGTTTAATCCCTAGGACTTAGGTGGTGGAAGGTCAGAGCTGTAGCAAAACCTCCATAAGACCCCACCCCTACAAATCAACAGGTGTAAGTTAATTCATAAAAACTGCTGGGTAGTAGCTGGTATTTCATTCTACAAATTACAAATAAACAGTAATATTGAATGGCAGGAAGTAAACATATTCAGTTTACTAACAGGGAAAGAAAAATGTCAAAATTTTAAAAAAACTATAATGTCACTTCCAATTAAAAACTAAATGAAACAGTTGTCAATTTGCCTTTAACAATTTTAAGAGCCAGTTTTATAAAGACAAAGATCTGAGTCAATTACTTTCAGAAAGACTTAATTTCCCTTTTTATTACCTCAGTTTTTCAAAAAACAGCTCCAGAAAGAGGCCTGAAGCCTCTGAACTACAAACTAACACCTAGTTTTGAGTAGGACAGTAGGGACTCTAGACTAAACTGGCTTTATTTTCTAGGAGGAAGAGCTACAGGGCAGCTGGAAAATGGTCTTACAGAGGACCAGGGTTCCCTTTCCAGTAAACACGTGGGAGCTCACAACCATTTCTAACTCTAGTTCTTGAGACTCTAATGCCCTCTTCTCCTTAGGCACCAGGAACATGGAGATACACATGCAGGCAACACACCCATACACCATCACAAAATACATAAGCATTTTAAAAAGGGGTTATGAAATCTTACCACTGTACAACAAAAGCCCAAGGTGTGTGCATTAGAAACAAGTGAATGTCACCTTTCTAAACAAAACAAAACAAATTACCCTGTCTCCAGGTTTTAACACAGGTTCATTTTTGGTCCCCAGTTTATTAAGCAGCGTGTAAGCCAACTTTAAACTTCTGCTCCACAATTTTCCTAGAAAAAGAAAACAATGAGACAGAAAAAATTATAGGCATACTTCAGCCAGAGAGTACTGGGTTCAGCATGCTAAGACAGGCCAGTTGTGATGAGTTAGCACCAACCTTCCCAACACAGCAGCCTCTCAGGCACTCTGAAGGGCCACTCTTGCCCCAGGACAAATAAAACATCACCTTGCCTTACTTAATATTTCAAGTTCTTTTCTTTTCTGTGCCCCCCCCCCCTTTTAAGACAGGGTTTCTCTGTGTAACCCTGTGTAGTGAGATAGTCCGTCTGTGGCACTGACCACGCACATTGGGGGGTGGAGCGATGGACGGAAGTGACCTGTGGAAGGAAGTCGGAGGGAGAGCCGCTCTCTTGCTGGCGTGACTCGGACAGGAGAGGATCGGGTTGAATTTCCTGGTGTTCATCTGTCTAGGTTGTAAGTTATTTCTCCCTGAATAAACATCTATTCGGCCTATTTGTTTATCCTGATCCTTATTTAACCGCGATATCTGGTGTCAGAAGTGGGATGGGCGTGGTCAGTGCCACAGAAGGACTATCTCACTACAGCCCTGGCTGTCGTGGAATTCAATCTGTAGGCCAGGCTGGCCTTGAACTCAAGAGTTCTGCCTACTTTTGCCTCCTGAGTATTGGGATTAAGGGTGAGTGCCACTGATACATGGCTCAGTTCGAATTTTGTTTTTATGATGTAGTAACAGTATGCTGAAGTATACCTTAAAAGAGAGGGCAACATTTTTTGTTTGTTTTATATCCAAGACTAAAAAGCAGTTGGCTCTGTCCTAGGCTTTTTTGAAGAACAGCTCATCTGTATCTCATGAGCTACTTGAGACTGGAAGGGTTATAATAATTTGGAAGCAAAAAAAAAAGACAACAAACAGAAAGAAAGCTGAGTGTGTGGGGGGGTAAACGCCAAAAACCCTAACTTTCAGGAGGCTAACACAGGAAGTTTTCTTCTGGTTCGAGGCCAGACCGTGTTACAAAGTGAAATTATGTCTTATAGAAAACATAAAACAAACTAAGACCAAAAGAGAAGCTGGTTTTAGGAGCCACACAGGTGGACTCACAGGCTTCATATGAACGAGAACAGTCCTTAGCACTTGGAGGAGCTATAAAAGTGGAAAAGTATTCATTTTATTCTTTATAGAATTGTATGCTTATTATAAGCAAGATGATGCAGGCTGGAGATCTAAATCTGGTTTTCCTTCCACACAACCATTAATACTGACAAAATGCTTTCCAAAATCTTCCTCCAGCCAGGTGCCATGGTTCATGCCTGCAATCTCCGGAAATCAGGAGGCTAAGAGGATTAAGAGTTCAAGGCCATCCTTGGCTACAAGTCTGAGGCCATCCTGGGATAAATGGCAAAACAAAACAAAAACAAATCCTCTTCTAATGTAAAAGTAAAAATAAATCTTTTTGCTGTCTTTAAAAACTAGCTGCCTGTGAATGTCACTCTAACAAATGAAAATGTCTGGCAACAACTCCACTTGGAATAAAGGGTCCAATTAAATAACTGAGACATATGTAACTGACAAATACCAAGAGCAACACTACCCCCAGTCTTCAAGAACCCTTAGCGCAGTGGGGACCCACCATATGTGAGCGTGTAGACTGGTTTCCCAGAAACATCCAGCCCTGTCAGGCAGGGGCACTTGGCTTGGGTAGAGCCCCACCGCTGCAGGGCGGATTCCAGTGCAGGGGGCCAATTACAGATGACTCCCAGGGGCTCCCCCTTCACCGGCGTCATCTGTCGGCCCTCAGGTTTTGGCTGGTTGGGATCTGGCTGAGGTACTGTGGCAAACAGGCAAGAAGATGAAGTAAGTTTACATGCCCCTAACACAATTCTAACCTCAAACACATTTTCTCCTCGGTCTCTGGATTATTCTCGTAGTAAAAAGCCTTAGGGCTTCCAGCATTCTCCTAAAGAGTCTCAGCAACCTGGGGAGAGATGGCTCTTACTCCCATCACCGTTGACAGTGCCCCAAATTCAAGGGCTGCTTTAACAATGTTAGCTGAGTGGAACTGTGAGAAACAGAGATGAACACTTACACCAAGACTCAAAGGGGCTGTTTATACTCATGTATACACTGTAGGTTTTTCTACAGTGAACAAGCATTATTCAAATAATTCTTTAAATCTAACATTTCTTTTGTTTATTGTTGGTTTTGGTTGTTTTTTTCTTTTTAGGACAGGGTCTTGATATGTAGCATGGAACTCAATGTGTAGACCAAACTGGCCTTGAACTCATAAAGAGCCATCTATCTACCTCTGTTTCCCAATGTGCTCAGCCTTAAATTGTACATTCCCAAATTCTACATTCTCATAGAAGGAAAGATAAATAAAGTATTTATTATGTACCAATTATGTGGACAGACTACAATAAACTGAGAATGTGAACAAGCCGGGTGTGGGAGCCCTTGTCCATAGTCCCAGAGTTCAGGAGGCTGAAGCAAGAACAAGCTCAAATTTAAGGTTTGCCAAGGAATACTGCCAAGACTCTTGTCTCAACAAAACACCCTGAGAAAACAAATATTGCACATATACCTATAGAGTGCACTAGGAGCATAGACAGCAATAATAATACCTCAACTCAGATATTACTTGTCCAAGTGGTGATGCTTTCTCTCCTGGACTCCCTGAGTATGTAGTAGCCCTTGTTGTCCTGGTTTTCCTGGTTTTGCTATGTGCATATCCCTAGTGAATGCTGGAATTGTATGTGAGCCAGAGAGATGGTGCTCTTCTAGAGGACACAGGTTCAATTCCCAGCACCCACATGTCAGCTTACAACTGTCAGGATACCTGATACCTCTGTGGGCACCAGGCATGAAGGTGGTACACATACTTGCATGCAGGGAAAACACCCACACACAAAATATATCAATGTAAGTAAAAATAAGAAAAAAAAAAAAAAACAAAAAAAAAACCCTGTTCTTTGTAACTCACTGTTATGATGGATCTGTAAAAATTTGTTTTGACTCATTCTTTTTTTAGAGTTAGCATACAAAATAGTGGGTTTCCTAATAGCATTTTTATACGTCTGTATCATTACACTTCATTCTTGCTCAATCCAACTTCTACCCCTCCTACCCCCTCCTGCTGGCCTCCCTCTCCCCAAACAGTCCTCACATCTGCTCTCACATCACGTGAATTCCATTTCTGTCTCTTAGCCCCATCTCTGCTAAGACCTCCTCCTCTCTCACAGTCCCTTTGTTCAGGACCTGTACACACACACACACTCTCTCTCTCTCTCTCTCTCTCTCTCTCTCTCTCTCTCACAAATCTAGATTCTGCAAGAAAAAGCATGCTGTCTTTATGTTTCTGAGTCTGCCTTATTTGATTAGTACAATGATCTCTACTTACATCCATTTCTTCTTACATTCATTCTTCTTCTGACAAAATACTCATTTCACTTCTCTCTCTCTCTCTCTCTCTCTCTCTCTCTCTCTCTCTCTCTCTCTCTCTCTCTGTTTTTGTTTGTTTTTAGAGACAGGGTTTCTCTGTGTAGCTTTGGAGGCTGTCCTGGCACTCTCTGTAGACCACATCCCCAGTGCTGGGACTAAAGATGTTTGCCACCACTGCCCAGACTTCACTCCTTATTTTGTATAATATTTTCAGATCATTATAGACCCTTACATTTAGTCTACATTTAGCAGGATTACCCAGGAATTACTAGTAATAAATTGTTTCATCTCTACAGCAACTGTGCACCACCTGGTAGGCACAATTTTCCACTAGGACTTCATGCAAACATCTTCATGTTTCCAAAAGATACTGGTATTTTTCTTTTCCAAAAATGACAATTAGTCAAAGAAATCTATTTGCAATCATACAGAATGGCTGTATGCTTTTTGACCACACTCACACCCATTCCCTTTTTAAGTTTTCTTAGGAAATTATTATTTCATCAGTGAATGTTTTTTAATTGTTACACCACTGTCTTTTGTCATATAGAGAACTGACTTCTTACCTCCCCCATAGTCTTCATCACAAACCTACTGGCTCATCTGTTCCCTCCCTGACTCATTTCAGAACTGACTACTCTAAGTCACTAACATGGGGAAGGAAGTGCATTTTTATGTCTTTAAATGTCTTTACCATCTACCACTCTGTCTTCTAGAAAGTAAATGTGTATGTGTTGATTAGCAGATTCAATAAAAGGCCCATCTGCATTACAAGAAAGAGTAGACAAACTCTTGAGGTTGGATTTGTTTTCTATACTCTCAAAAAATACAAATTGTAAATAACTTTAAAAATTATGTATTTCTAGCCCAGTGAAATGGTTTGGCAAATATAGGTGTTTGCCATCAAGCCTGCTGACCTGAGTTTGATCCCCAGAACCTACATGGTAGGAGAAAAGCAATTTAAAAACATCATCCTTTACAATAGCCACAAACAACATAAAGTATCTTGGGGTAACGCTTACCAAACAAGTGAAAGACCTATATAATAAGAACTTTGTGTCTTTAAAGAAAAAAATTAAAGAAGATACCAGAAAATGGAAAGATCTCCCATGTTCTTGGATAGGTAGAATAAACATAGTAAAAATGTCAATCTTGCTAAAAGCAAATTTACAGATTCATTGCAATCCCCATTAAAATCCCAGCACAATTCTTCACAGACCTTGAAAGGATAACAACCCACTTTATATGGAAAAACAAAAGACCCGGGATAGCCCAAACAACCCTGTACAATAAAAGAACTTCAGGAGGCATCACCATCCCCGACTTTAAGCTCTACTACAGAGTTATAGTCCTGAAAACAGCCTAGTATTGGCACGAAAATAGACAAGTAAACCAATGGAATCAAATTGAAAATCCTGATATTAAACCACACACCTACAAACACCTGATTTTTGACAAAACAAATAAAAGTATACAATGGTGGGCGGAAAGCATCTTCAACAACAACTGGCACAGTTGGATGATGGTGTGTAGAAGAATGCAGATAGACCCGTGTCTATCGCCATGCACAAAACTCAAGTCCAAATGGATCAAAGACCTGAATATAAATCCAGCCACACTGAACCTCTTAGAAGAGAAAGTAGGAGGTACCTTTGAACAAATTGGTATAGGAGACCACTTCCTGAACGTAACACCAGTAGCACATACACTAAGATCGATAATTAATAAATGGGACCTCCTCAAACTGAGAAGCTTCTATAAGGCAGAGGACGCAGTTGACAAGACCAAATGGCAGCCCACAGACTGGGAAAAGATTTTCACCAATCCTACATCTGACAAAGGGCTGATCTCCAAAATATACAAAGAACTCAAGAAAGTAGCCAACAAAACACCAAATAACCCTATTTTTAAAATGGGGTACAGAACTGAAGAGAGAATTCTGAATAGAGGAAATTTAAAAGGCTGAAAGTCACTTAAGAAAGTGTTCAGCATCCTTAGCTATCAGGGAAATGCAAATCAAAACAACTTTGAGATACCATCTTACTCCTGCCAGAATGGCTAAAATTAGAAACACCAGTGATGACTTATGTTGGAGAGGATGTGGAGAAAGGGGAACACTCCTCCACTGCTGATGGGAGTGCAAACTTGTACAGCCATTTTGGAGATCAATATGGTGGTTCTTCAGGAAAATGGGAATTAGTTTACCACAGGACCCGGCAATCCCCCTCTTAGGCATATACCCAAATGATCCACATCCATGCAATAAAGACATGTACTCAACTATGTTCATAGCAGCATTATTTGTAATAGCAAGAACCTGGAAGCAATCTAGATGCCCCTCAACTGAAGAATGGATAAAGAAGATGTGGCACATCTACACAATGGAATACTACTCTGTGGAGGAAAAAAAAAAACAATGGAATCTGGAAATTCACAGGCAAGTGGATGGAACTTGAAGAAACCATCCTGAATGAGGTAACCCAGTCACAAAAAGAGGAACACAGTATGTACTCACTTATATATGGATTTTAGACATAGAGCAAAGAATCACCAGCCTATAATTCACACCGCCAGAGGAACTAGGATACAAGGTAGATTCTAAAAGATTCATATAAGGTCACTCACAGAAGGGGGAAGCAACAAGTTCTCCAGAGCACATGAGGAGTGGAGGGGGGCAGTGAAGGGAGAGGGAACTAAGAGAAAGAGAAGGGGAGGAAAGTACATGGGACTAGGAATATTGAGTCAGGGGAGGGATAGAAGAGCGAAGAGAGAGAGAGAGAGAGAGAGAGAGACAGAGAGAGAGAGAGAGAGAGAGAGAGACAGAGAGAGAGAGAGAGAGAGAGAGAGAGAGAGAGAGAGAGAGAGAGAACATAAAAGAGGGAGCCATTATTGGTTTGAAGAGAAAACTGAACCTAAAGAAATGTCTAGAGACCTACAAGACTGACTCCAACTAACAATTTGAGCAACAGTGGAAAGAAAGTCTACCATAAATGCCCTTCCCTGATAATGAGATCAACAACTAATGTATCCACCATCATGGAGCCCTCATCTAGTACCTGTTGGAAACAGAAGCAAATACCCACAACTAAACACTGAGTCGAACTAGAATCGAGATGCAGAGAGAGGACAAGACCAGGTTGCAGAAACACATAGAGACAGCTGACCTGAACAAGGAGCTACTGGGCCCCCAGACTAGACATCTGGGAATCCAATATGGGAGTGACTCAGACCCCCTGACATGGGTCTCAGCTAGAAGGCCCGGGCAGTGTAAGGGACCTCAGACAGTGGAACCAGGATGTATTCCTGGTGCACAAAAGGACCTTGTAGACACATACCCCATGGAGGGATACCGCCTTAACCTAGAGACAGGAGAGAAGTCCTAGTCCCTACTTCAAATGACTTGACAGATTTAGATGACCCCTCCTGGATGGCATCACCCTACTTGTGGAGTGGGGGGAAAGGGAGGGAGGTCTCTCTCTCTCTCTCTCTCTCTCTCACACACACACACACACACACACACACACACACACACACACACACACTTCTGACTCACTGACTGAGCATAAAGACCACACACACTAACAGGGACTATCTAAGCTCCCCATCCTCCTCACCCATCTCATCAACCCCTTCTCCCTGAGCCCTAAGGCAAAAATGACCCTTAGGGAAAGTAGCCACCGAGGGAGCTCCTGCTATACACACCCAGCAGGTGCTGGCTGCTAGTGGGTGTGTGCTTCTGGAACCTTTACTACTACCTTCCACAATTTCTTCAGAGTCGTCCACAAAAAACTCCTTTAAGGGAGGCCGTTTGGGTCTTTTCAGAGTGCTGAGAAGCTGCTGGATTTTTGTGGATACTCTGCTATTGACAGGAACACCTGTAAGAGAAAAATAGTAGTAAACTGAGTAAAATAAGTATAATTTATTTCCTCAATTACCTCAAAAGACTTTCCTTCCTTTAAAAAAAAAAAAAAACTTAACTATTAAGCTTTTTATTACCAATGAGACTTATAAGGATTTAAGTGCCTTTTTTCCTTCCACATGTGGTTCATAGTACCTTTCATAAACACCAAGTGGGAAGAAGTGAGCCAGCAGCAGTATGTCTGTCTCTGCAGCTGGGGCAACTGGGAAGAGCTGCTGGGGAGGATTTGAATTTTCCCAGTTTAACATATACTCCCTAACCTTACTCCAAGGGACTCCATACCATCAGCCGTATCCATAAGGCTGGATCTGTTGGATCCTTTGTGCATGCCTTTAACTATGCCGGAAGGGGGCAGGTCAATGTTTGCCGGGCGAAGGGAGGAGGAAGAGGTAGTTGCAGTGACATCGGGAGGGGCCGACACATTCTCTGAGGGGAAAAGACAGAACTTAGAATCACATGGTATTAACAGCAAAAAATAACCAAGTCTTTAGAAGGAATAAAAATCATTAGCTCTTTTAAAACAAACTTTAAAAAATATTTATTGACATTATTATTATTATCGTGTATTGTGAGTTAGCTCTCTCCTTCTGTTGCAGGTCCCAAGGATGCCTGCAAGTACTTTTACCTGTTGAGCCATCTCACCAGCCCTAAAACAAAATTTTAATCACAGTCTACTAGCAAATTATTGGCAAACCAGAGCAAATCAACTTTCCAAAAGTTCAAGACCTGAGTAGTTTTAGTTATTAGATCAAATCACATAGCCAATGTTTCTCAAAAGCATTTTTCTATACAGAGTGGATAATAGGAATCCAATGGTGTAAAAGTCATTTCAAAATGGAACCAAAGTGAGTAAGTGCCCGATCTGCCACTAGTTCTCTAGTTCCTTGAACACTTCTTTATGTCATGTTTTATCTAGGATGTTCCCCTTCTACCCAAGCGCTAAATGGTGGCTTGGACTGGGTCAGAGACCAATGTTCTTAGAGGAAAGAAAACAAGATAAAGTCAACTTCTAATTTTGATGAAATGGTCTATCGTTGAATTGGACCCGTTCAAGCAAGGCTATTTCTTGCTCTAAGTAGAGATTAACCCACATATGCTCCTTCATGGAAAAGTTCTTTTGACTTTTGTTTTTTGAGACAGGATCTCATCAGCCAGGTAAGCTAATCCTCCTGCTTCTACCTTCCAAGTGCTGGGATACAGGTACGCACCATCTTGCTCAGTGTCCATGAAGTACACTGATATGAGAAAGTCAGCGACCTAAGTTAGAAGAAAGCTACTGAATGAAGCTATGCCACAAAAAAACAAAGCAAAACCTTCTGAAGGTAATTAAAGGACACACACCATATGACACAAAAATAATGGAAAGCCACTAAAGGGCATTAAAAGGAGAAATGTGCCTTCTAAGATCAATGTAAGAGAAAAGTTTCTGTGTTTCAAAGGTCTATGAGTATTAGTTTTAGAAATAATGCTTTTTAAAGTCTGAAATGTAACTGGTATGATGAGATCAATGTGTATAATGTGGGAAAAATAAAGCACTAAGTTTGTTCTTTTGTGGATCTCCTGTTCCCGCCTCCCAAGTGTGGGACTACAGGTGTGCTGTGCCACCACACTCAGCTGTTGTTTGTTTTGTTTTGAAGAAGGGATCCTTCTATGTAGCTCGGGTCAGCCTTAATCCTGCCTCAACCTTCCACTTGCTGGAATTGTAGGTGTCCGCCACCACACCTAATTAGAAATGTGTATTTTATCAGGGCATTGGTGGCACATGCCTTTAATCCCAGCACTTGGGAGGCAGAGGCAGGAGGATTTCTGTGAGTTTGAGGACAGCCTGGTCTACAGAGAAAGTTCCAGAGAAACCATCTCGAAAAACCTAAATAAATAAACATTTTTAAAAAATGTGTATTTTATACTGTATTTGACCCAGCACGTCCACCTGAGCAATTTTTGTAAGAGGATAGCACTGCACACTACTTCACTACTTCATTGTCCAAAATAAGAGCGTGGCTAAATAAACTAAGTCATAGAAAGACAGTAATACACTTTAAAATCACAAGAAGAAAAGCATAATTATAAATATTTAAGAGATGTTCAAGATAAATTGCTAAGAAAAGCAGGTAGTGACTTAATTTTATTTAGGACAATTTACATTTTACAAAATCAAAGTCAAATCCCTACATGCTCTAAACTAAATCTAGACTGCACGCCAAGATGGCAACACCGACGTGTAATCCATACAATCACGGTCTTATCTTCTCCGAGGCAGAGTCTCTCTGCATAGCCCCAACTGTCTGGGAACTCACTATGTGACCAAGCTAGCCTCAAACTCAGAGATCTGCCTCTGCTGCTTGCCTCTTCCTCCTGAATGCTGGGATTAAAGGCATGAGCCACCATTCCCTGTAGATTATAGTCTCTTTTAAGGAACAGGTACTATTTCCATAGGAGCTAACATCCAAAGCAGCAATACTGGATTAGATGGTTTCTGCAACTCAGCTAAAAAAAATTAACAGAAAAATAGGAAGTCACATTAAGTCATCTTAATAAAATCCAGACAATGTAAAATAGGTGTTTGGGTTTCTTTCTCAAGTGGAAAAGCTTTCTTTTAGACATATTCATCAATAAATTCTCCCGCCATTACTCTGCTGCTTGTTCTCTGTGACAGAGTGGTGGGAAATATGCCTGTCTATGTCTGGCTGCACTGGGAGGCTCAGTGATACACAATAGGCTAAAAAGTGCAGAGTGGGTCACCACAATGATGTGTGGCTTTTATACCTACAAGGTAGCTATCTTTAACTATAACTTTCCAGAGCTTTCTTTTCAGAAATGAAATTAAAATATTATATAAAGTGATACATAAAGGTTACTGAGATGACAATTAGATAATGAAATGTGACTGGTTGTCAAGAAAAAAGAAGAAAGACATCAGACACAGTGCAAGGACATGACTTAGTGCAATTGGTGCCACCAAGTAAGTAGAGACCTGAGAAAAAACAAAAACAAAACTCACAAATACATAAAGCAGAACCAAGCAACAGCTATACACCATACAATAGCAGCAGCAGCAGCCAGGAGCTCGACGTGCCGACCCTCAGCCTGTATACTTCTCATGCAGCAACATCACCACAGCAAGCAACATAAATCCAGTCTTTAGGCTAAGGACAAAGCAAAAAGGCCTTGCTGGCAATGGCTTAGTGTAGAATTTGCTCAGATTAAATATGTTATGTTTTATGAAATATAGACAGTGTTTCTGGGAAATCTAAGGTGCTACATATTTTAGTAGCTCTTGATATAGGGACTATTTCTCTTGTGGGATAATCACATACTAAGACTGGTGTTATTTTGCAGCTTCAGAATTGCTTATGGAAATAGATATGGCTTCAGGTGAAAAACATTTGTATCAATAATGCTGATGATACCTATTATTCCTGCAACAAATATATTGCTGGTGTTTTCTTCTCAGCCTCACGAACTGTTCTTTGTGATCATATTTTTTTAGCCCACATTGAAAACCTAACACAACATAAACTGTTTCCAGGATACTGGGTGCCAAATGGAACATTAGGTGGGTTTCTTGGGTAGATCCAACTCCTACCTATTCGGGTATTGGCAAATACATCCACTAGAGACCCACTGGTTCCTTTGACCTCTCCGTGGGACAGCGTAGAAGATGCGGATGAAGAGGTGGACGATCCCTGAATTGAGCGGTTGATCCAAGACTCAGCATTCTGCAAGCTTTGTTGCAAGGCAGCAGAGAGCGCAGCCTGGCGTCTCAGAGAGCCCTCATCCTCAGAGGCCGAAGACGTGTCTGTGTGGAATTAGAAAAAAAGAAGTCTCGATCCTGCCTTGAGCACAGACTGTTCAGTTAGTTCTTGCTCATTGACTACACACCCATGTTGACACCAGCAAAAAAACACTAGCATTCTCAAGTTAGATTAACAGGTGACATTTCTTAAGACGTGAAAGAGAGATCTGTGGGCCACACCTAACAAAACAGAATGTTGACCTCAGAAGACCACGTTAAACTTTAACAAAATGTTTTAAGAATTTAATTACTTTCCTGTCCTGAGATGAATGGATGTCTAAATTCTGGTTTGCCTGCTTGTTAGAGACCTTGTGATGGGTGGCCACATGGCTTTTTGTGTGTATTATCTCTGCTTAAAAGGGGACACAGAGGCTGCTTCTGTTAAAAAGTTCCATGAGGGCTGGATGATGGGACTCAACTCTGTCCGGAGAGAGGTTGCCTTAGCCTGGAGGTGCTGCTTGCTCTACTGGACAAGGTAGCTGGTCACAGGGTACAGGTGAGGTTTCCAAACATGGTGAAGTCTGAGAATTTCCTGGTGCCTTGACTAAGCCTGGGTCTGACTTTAGAAAGCAGGCCTAAATTGGAACAGCTTGTTGGAAAAAAAACAAAACAAAACAAAAACTAAAGTTCAAGCAAATATAGGGAGGTCAAAGCTGGGGAGAAGGCGGAATTATCTCTGGCTAGAGTCTACAAGGCATTCGAGAGTCACCATCCATCCGACCTGGGAAAAAAACTTCTAAATGACACGGGTGGCTCTAACTAGTGATCTATGGGATGAATGAACTCCTTCACTTGGTTCTTGTTTTTGCAGTGCTAAGAATGGAACCCAGGGCCTTATACAGGCTGTATAAGTAACTACCAGGTCCCTGGTCCCACTCAGTTTTTCTTTTTTAATGAAAAATGTCACGCTCAGTTCTACACAAATTTTTCACCTAATTCAGATATCCGTGGGTCCAAGACATGCAGTGGTTCAAAGAGCCAGTGAAATAAACAAGAGGGAAGGAAAACTGCTAACACTCCACAATGGAAGTTGAACTACACAAAAACCCTACAGTAACCCAGAATCCAAAAGTCTAACCTATAATCCCAGAGTACCAAAGCTAAAGCAATGGCCACACCTTTTCCTCTTGTTCAGGAAAACCAGCAATGCATTGCCTCACATAAAGGAGACCCACAGCCCAAGAACGATGATGGTTTGTGATGCACTGTATGCTGAAACTGCATCAGGTCCTAGGGAGACTGAGACATATGAATGCCTATGAATAGTATGTGCCACTAAAAGCCATTCGGTGTGGTACTGGCCATACACAACCCCACACAAGAACACAACATGCTGTAAGAAATAGAACAAGCCAAGAACTCTCTGGGAGGAGGACTTATCTAGGCCCAGGGTTTTAAGTACTTCAGTGTAAGTGCAGTACATTGTGAGGAGGTATGAGACAGGGCGGGGGATGGATGGACGGATGGACAGACAGAGGCCCCAGAAATGTCATAATAATAAAGAGGGCTCCCTAAAGAGAAAAGGTGCATAATATAATATAACAAGGAATGGTCAAAGGGAAATGCAAAGAATGGATTTAACAAAAGCTTTTTTTTTTTTAGTAACTTCTAGAAAATACTCTAAAAATTCCTTGAAAGGAAAAGATTCTATAAACAAGCAGAAAGTGGGGGTCAGGGAGGCAGTGAAATTTGTGACCCTCACCATGAGAATAAAATATTTTGGGGGTAACATCTCAGAATCCCACAAAGGCCTCTGGATTTACAAGCTGCCCCTACAGTGTCATTTTAATTTGTGTAAATCTAAAACCAGAATAAATCAATTTTTACAGATAGTAAAGCTAGTATTTTCATTATTTGATTTATGGAAAACTGACTGCATTATGTTTCTGCATTTGATCAATTATGCAATTAGGTTTAGTGGTTCAATTCAATTACCTGCTCTGCCTGGTAGTCCTTCTCTGGATGTGTACTGCCATATAGCTATGGAATAGCTTAGGCTAGGGGAAAACATGGGTGGCTTTGGTGTCTGTCTTCCACTTGAACTCTGAGGCCCGCCACTTCCCTTGTAACGTGAAGTTAAAATGATTCATTGTGAAGCCTGTTTATCCATTCAACAAATAGGACTGAGCACTATCCCAGTGGGTGGGATGAGATACTGAGGGAGAAGACATACTGCTCTCTCTTACATGCTCCCCTGCCCTGCAGGGTAAATAGGAATTAGCGGAGAGGCACAGGAACAGCATCAGGTATAGCATGTGAGAAAACACAGCAGAGACAGAAAACAAGGCATATTTGAAGATATTACCAAAATGGAAACTAGCTGAAGCACACAGAGCAAGACTGACAGAGGTGAGGGCACAATCGAGGGCAAGGACATGCAAGGAAATATGCCACTGTAGGGCCGGCCCAGCTCACAGCTACCCTCTCATGTCACACAGGCCTGATGATAAAGAGTGTCCTGTCTTTCTGATCTGCCATAGTATCTGATAGTTTCCTTAACAACAATTTAAATAAGGCCCTGAAGGGATGGCTCAGTGGCTAGGAGCACCTACTTCTGTATCAGAAGAGCTGAGTTCAGATCCCCCCACCCTTGTCAGGGTATCACAAACACCTACAACTCCAGCTGCAAGGGCTCTGATGGCACCTGCTGCCTCCACGGGCATTCACACAAACACAAACAATAAGATAATTTTTTTAAGACAGAATAATTGGATGCAGACAAAACATCCATATACATAAAATAAAAATAATGAATGAGAGCAAAGAGAATGAAAACCTGAAGGTTGGTAGAAAAAAAAGAAAAACATTTGCTATGATGATCACGCAACCCAACACAACCCAAGGAATGTGGCTGCTACAGGTTACAACTTGTGTAGAATTCTCAAGAAATGTGCAATGCTAATCACTGCTCTGAGCCTGCTGAGTTCTCTTTCCTTTTCTCTTTTTTTGAGATCAGGTTTTGCTATGCAGGTAAGGCTGGACTAGAGGTCTTCTCAATCCTGTCTCCTGGGGATGGGTTTACAGCCATGGGCCACCATACTTGCCTGAGCCTACAACTTTAAAAAAAAAAAAAAAAATCAAAATAATCTCTTTTAAATATTATTATTTTGTAGTATTAAAAAAATTGTCAACCAAGAATATTTGTAGGAATTTGGGCAAAATTAAAAAAAAATTTTTTTTGGTTTGGGGAATTTAAAATTCTGTTTATTTGTTGGAGAGTTGAGCACATGCCACAGTACACTTATGGAGGTTGAAGAACAACGTGCAGAAGTTGGTTTCTCTTTCTAATATGGGTCCTGGGTACTGACTTCAGGTTGTCAGGCTTGGCAGCAAGTGCTGTTGTTACCTGCTAAGCCACTTCACTATGTAGCCCTGGATAGCTTGGCCTTGAACTCGTGACACTCAGTCTTGCCTCTGCCTCCTAAGTGCTGGGATTACAGTCATGAGTCCCTACCTAGAGCTCAAACTTACTTTACTGTTGTTGTCTGGTTCTCAGGGTTGAACCTAAGACTTCATGCACGCTAGGCAAACACACTGCCATTGAGTTATGTCCACTCATGTCCACTGGCCATGAGTTATGGCCAGAAAACCATTTTTTCCTCATTATAGATGGCTGTGACCCACCATGTGCTGGGAATTGAACTCAGGACCTCTGGAAGAACAGTCAGTGCTCTTAACCTCTGAGCCATCTCTCCAGCACCCAGAAAACCATTTTTAAACCATGGTTTGCTCTTTGTGGTATAATGTGATTTAATACAACATCATTTGATATTGTTCATCAGAAGCCTAGCATCCATTTCAGTAGTTCTCAATCTGGGGCCTCGACCCCAATAGTGCATATCAAACATTTACATTAAAATTCATAACAGTAACAAAATTACAGTTATGAAGTAGCGATGAAATAATTTTATGGTTGAGATCACCACAACATAAGGAACTGTATTAAAGGGTCTCACCATTGGGAAGGTTGGCAATCACTGCTCTATTTAGGTGTTTTGTTTTGTTTGGTTTGGTTTTGGTTTTGGTTTGGTTTGGTTTTTCAAGACAAGGTTTCTCTGTATAACCCTGACCATCCTGGAACTTGCTTTGTAGACCAGGCTAGCCTTGAACTCACTGAGCTCCACCTGCCTCTGCTTCCCAAGTGCTGGAATAAAAAGCATGTGCTACCACTGCCTGGGTAGCTTATTGTTTTTAAGGGAAGAAAAGTCCAAAGTTTACTAACTGTTCTTAATTGCTTATGACTTTAGTCATGCGTAAACATTATATTTAAAATGCTTATTTTAAAAAAGTAAACACTTGGGGCTGAAGAGATGGCTCAACAATTAAGGGCACTGGCTGTTCTTCCAAAGGACCCTGGTTGGACTCCTAGCACCCACACAGCAGTCCACAATTGTCTATAACTCCAAGCTCCAGAGATCTACACAGCCACTCAGAAAAAAACATCCATACACACAAAAATTTGAATGTTTGTTGTATTAGCTATTCACTGTACTCCTGGGTCCTTTTCCAAGAAAAATCAAAGCATGTACCTATACATGAATGTTTCTTGAAATAGCTTAAAATGAGAAACACCTCAAATGTACAAGTGTAGACAAATGGATAGGTAAACTAGTCTACTATGTGGTGGAGCCTAACTCAGCCAAGGGCGATCTCTGCTGGGCAGGTATAACATTGAGGAATCTCAAAATCTTAAGCTCAAAAACAGCCATACCTTTCCTCCACTGTGAGAAGAACAAACTGCATGGCTGCTATATAAGCATCTAGAAAAATGCAAATTAATGTATAGAGATGGAGAACAGTTAAGGCTTGATCTTCTGGGGGAGGGTAAATGTGGACGGGTTCCATCACACAAAAAAGTCATTTCTCCTGCCTGGATTGGCCAGATACATCGGCGCTTCCAGAAACACTCTGAGGAGAGAAGGTTTTTACATGGGCAAAGGAAAATTTAAAACTTGGGGAGAAAAGTCTTTACAGAATAAGATGAGATCTAGGAGAAAGCATAT